AATAAGACATTCACTTGAAACGTGTAGTTTTTAAACTGAGAATAACTCACTTTTGAGTGAGTCAGCTTAGTATCGTAATTTAACAACATGTTGATGAATAGATGGCTGCGGAACTCGCTGCGCTCGTCCCGCAGAGGTCCACCCATAAGTTTCGTAATAATCCACTCGTTTGTACTTGAATAACTTGTCACAATATATTACTAGTTTGGTAAAGTAACATTACTAATTCCTGTTGAAAGGCGAATTGACAAAAAGTGGATAATCATAATCTTACAAATTCTTACTTTATATAATAAGTTATTGTTTAAGTACAAATAAGTGAATTGTTGCGGAACTTACGGGTGGACCTCTGCGAGACGAGCGCAGCGAGTTCCGCATCCATCTATTCACCAATATACTGCTGAACTGTTCAAGTAAGACATTTACCTGAACCATGTAGTTTAGATTCGCTTCAAGCTTCAAGTTAATTCAAAATAATTGAACAAATTATTGTTTTTTTTTTTTAAATTTTTGTTTTTACCTACCTGATATGAAGTTCGTAGGAAAAATTTTGTTCCTAACACGTGCGCAAAGTGTCTTTTCCGCACGCAAACACTTATCCGAACTCCGCTTCGCGTCGTTCCATTGATGTCTGTGAAGGCAAACCAGCAAAAACCTTGAATTAATTACTTTTCAAGCAAATCAGCAAAAAAGGTAAACTTTGGGATAAATACAACAACAAATCTGACGAAAGCTACCTAAAATAACGAAACTAGGAGAGTAGCTTAGTTACAGCAGATTTACCAGAAAGGATCTACAAATATATAAGCAGAAACTTGAACTCTAAGGTGTCAACAATAAAACTTAGAAATTCAATAACTCAAGAAGTTTTAGACAATGATGGCTGAAAAATTTGCTGAACAATTTGACAAATCCTTCACCCAACAGAAGCACTTATGTCTACCACCCCTGGAGTTTGATAGACACCATAGAATTCACAGAAGAAAAAGTCATTATATGAAAAAGACCTCAAATCCAGAGCTAGACAGGATACCAACCATTATGCTACAAAACTGTAGTGAGTCGGTTGGTTCTCTACTCTCTGGGGGTAATGCAGGAAAGTGTCGACTTGGGACGCATACCAGAGAAATCGAAGCTCTTTATAGTGACCCTCCTCTTTACAGACATAAACCTGAAAATTATCGACCCAAAAGTCTAACATGTAGCCCATTGAAGTGCATGGAAAAAGTCATGGTCGAGGAAATAACAGTTTTTTTCATTGAGATTGAGAACAATTTTTCTATCAAGATGCTCCACTGTAACCAACCTTAATGACTGGACAGAAAACCATAATAACCTTCAGCCCACTGATATTATATGTCTTAATTATATGAAAAGGCTTTTGATAAAGTACCACATAACCTGTTGCTTGGAAGACTAGAGCATTTTGGAGTACGGGGAAGGCTGTTGACAATCATCAGAGGTATTCTGTGTGAAAAATACTACCAGCTTCGAGTCAATGGAACAATTTCAAAACAACACCTTGTGTCCAAGGATCGGTTCTGAACCCATTGCTCTTTATAACTGGAACTTGAGGTATGAAACTCAACGAGTCAAAATGTATAGTGCTTAGAATCGGCCCAAACAATCCCAATGAAAAATATATTATACTCTGAACAACACAGCACTATGAACTGTCACTGAGCAGAATGATCCTAGAAACATCTGACTTCAAATGGGAAAACCACATTGTGAAAATAGCCAAAAAAACCAGTACATTTGTTTTATCTGATTAAACATGCTTTCAAAGAAATGATATTAAACTGTACAAAAGCTTCATCAGGCCTAAAGTTGAATATGATTACACAGTGTAGAATCCATATAAATCTTAGAAAAAATACAGAGATACCATCAGAAACGAGCGAATTAAGTTATCCTGAGAGACTGGAGAGATACCGATTAACAACATTAAGAGAAAGAAGGCACATGAAGTTCCACTCGCCAAGTTTCAAAATAATATAAATTTTGCTCATATTCATGGAAAGGATTTAGCAAAATGCGCCACTGGATTTCCATCCAAACCGAAAACACAATATTCTGGTTGATTAAGGCTTCGCCCTGCTAGCCGGCTGATAATGAATGCCAAAAGAAGTATCAGCTATTAAAAGTTTAAAGTACAAAGAAGAAAAGGGCCCCCGGATTTCTCCGAAGGTATTGTGTTTTGAAATCTCCCGACCAATACGGCCGTCATCTTCATCATCACCTCAATTAAAACGTAATAAGAATCCGCGCGTCTTTTCCTCATTATTAAAGGGTTTTAAATTGAAAATTTTCCTTTTATTAAAATTTTGTGACAATGTTGTATAATATAATAAACGAAAAGTCACGGTCATCGTCGCACACACAGCTTCAATATAATGGCCCGAAGTGTTTTTTTTTTTTTTTAATATGAAAAATGATTGTTAATGTCAGGTTTTCGGACCAGAGGGGCATTGTCGCCGAAACGTTTTTGATTGATCGACTATAATATATTGGAATTTTATTAAAACTCGTTGTAGTACAACACAATTGGTGTGGATTTTGTCTATCCAGCAAGGAAAATATGAGAGGGCGAAGATAATTTAAATATAATGATCGTTTGTTCGGCACTTAAATTTAAATAAAACAAACATTTTTCTTAAGGAATAAGGCCACGGGAATCTTGTTACTGTTGAACGACACCGGAATAAATCGTTTGCCAATAGCAGGCAAAGAGCAGGGAGCGGCACATTTGAATAGCAATTTGGCATAAGGAGGGCGAATTCTAATCAGTTTTTACGAGAGAATCAAGAGACCCGATTTTTTTTTTTTTAAGATATATTTTTGATGAATAATACACCCACCAACATCCCTAAAACATGTCAGTGTTGATTTTTCATATTAGTTCTTCCACTGTTCTATACAATTGAGATTAATGTTCAAGTGTCGTGGGGTGTTTAGAAAGGTATTTTTCATATACACCTATATGTAGTTCTAATAATTTTCCTCAAAATCATCGATTTTATGACGAATTATGTTGTAATTTCCCCGGAAAAAAAAATGAATGATGTCGACTCGACACGAACTTATTATTGAAAGCGCCCTGCTCCGACCTCCGACAAGCAATCTGTTTTAGTTTAACTCAAAAAATATACTGCTTGCGATATAAATTGAGGCTTGGCCTTATATACTAAATTCCCTTTCCATCATCCCCTCATATTACAAAAAAACAAATGTGAAGAACAAACGGCAGAAATATTTGCATTTTAATAGTTTTCGCTCACTCTTTGTAAATGGGAAGTTGGAGTTGTGTGCGGCTTTTCACTCACTCTCTTTTCCATCCCCGTAAGGAAGGAAATATTAGAAGAAATTTACCGCCGCAGTTGAATGAAGGGAGAGGGAGACATAATCGTAATAAACGTTTTGAATAAATTCGTTGTGTGTGTAGAGAAGAGAGAGGAAATAAATTTTCCATCTAAAATAAAATCATGTCCAGTTGAGAGAAAAATTGAGCGTACAATTTTTCGATTTCGTTATGATGATGGAATGTCTGTCCTTTCCCTGCAGGGCCAAATACCGTGCAGGGGCCCCGAAGTTAAAACATTATTTAATTTCGAATCAATTGGATTCTTTCGACATATTACGCATTTTTTTCAATCAAATTTTGTGTATTTTCTTTGGCTCAATAAATATTCAAGGCAATTTCAATAAAACTCGCAAAATGGCTCCTTAATACAGAAAAGGCATTATGAATATTAATACCCAATAAAAATGCAACCCCGCAGCTAGTAGAGTGTAAAGAAACAAATGTTCAGGTCGGACCCAGAAGGAAAACGACTATTCGAAGGGGAAAAATCATGAATATTTGGCCATTTAAACGTAAAATCCGATAATATAATGCTCTTTTCGTTTTATTGATTGACTCAGCAGATGCTCTGAAAAGGGGTTGACGCGGCATCAAAACACCGTTGAATTATTAACCCTAGGAATTGGAGATTTCATAATGGAGATAAGAATGGCACATTATAATGGTCAAGTAACTATAAACCCCTTAGTATGGGAGCAAAAGTTTGATTACTCAAATAATCTACGTGTATACAGTTATTGTCCGTCAAAATGTTAACAATTCCCCCATCCCTCTTGATTCCCAATAATAAAAAAAAAAAAAAACGGGGGAGCTCCTGTGCAGTAGCCGCAAAAAGGCAAACAAACGGAATACTTCAAAAGAAAAAAGGAAACAAAGCAATTCATATGATGGTTATGAAGAGCTATAAAATGCCAGTTATTGAAAATTACATTCTCCGATGGTTGGGGCATTTTTCCTTTCATTTCCTCTTTTTGTTTGTGGAAAAACGATTTTATTACCAACCGGCTCTCAGACTATATGTATTATCACACCCATATTCGATCAAATTTCCTAATTATTGGCCCATATCCCGAATTAATCTCATCCTGGAACAAAACGGCCTTAATTCTGGATGTCAACAGCGAATGATTAATGACGCCCGATGGATTGCGTCCAATAAAAACAAAAAGGCCGCGCTAATTACAAATGCATAGGCCGGAAAATTAGCCCAAACAACACAGAGTTGGACAATTTCCAAAAGAATTTCCACATACACACCTTTGTATATTATAAGGGAAGAAAAGTGACACGTCGCGCCCGGGGTGGGTTATTTACGTGGCGTAATAAACGGTTTCTCTCACACACCCCCCGGGTTACTTGTGATTGCAATTAACACTGGCGAAAATTATTTACGAGCTTTGTAATTTGCAATTTAGTCGTCGTTTTCGGTTTATAAAACAGCCAACCGCGGTGATGAATGTCTCTATGTCCTTTTTAGGTGCCATAGATATAAGGGGTGAGTTTAAATACGCTTAGAATTTAATTTCTAGTGTAGGTAACATTCTTTTTGAAGCGACTCGGTATATGTGGTATGTATAATATAGCAAAGTGAACTTTAATCGTGTTTAAAATGCCGTGTCATTGTTTAAACGTAACCTGATAGATCATTATTCAATTGGAAATTGATTGTTCGGTACCTAGGTACCTACGCGGAAAAAAATTAGATTGTTTTTTCTATAGTGACAGTGCATTTGAATTTTTAGCAATGACGGGTAAGTAACTTTATATCTAATGTACCAATAATTGTCCCAGAGATATACTATTATGAGAATTTGCCTCTATGACATTTCATGTCACTTGTGAAAAGTTTGTAATACAGGGTGTCCTCAGATAAATTGACACATTTTGCATCAGGTAAAAACGAGAGAGGATAACGAGATGCGGTTTGTTCTAACATCTAAAAATACTAGTGCGGTGGAAATATCCATATTTTCACAAAAATCCTTTTTTTTGATGAATCGCAATACATCATTATTTTAAAAAAATCATAGCTCCATTAATAGTAACTCAATCGCTTTGATTTTTTAGTATTTTTTACATTGAATATTTAGGAAAAAGTCCTCAAAATTTCAACTCTCCACTCACTTTACTTTTTGAATGAAAAAATTGTTTGTAAAGTCTTACTTTACAAAACATCATTATTTGAAAAAAATCATTAGGTACTCCAATAATAATAACTCAATCGCTCTGAGTTTATGGTATTTTTTACATTGAAGCTTAAGGAAAAAATCCTCAAAATTTCAACTTTCCACTCACTTTAGTTTTTGAGTGAAAAAATTGTTTGTAAAGTCTTACTTTACAAAACATCATTATTTTTAAAAAATCATAACTCCATTAATAATAACTCAATCGCTCTGAGTTTATGGTATTTTTTACATTGAACCTTTAGGAAAAAGTCCTTAAAATTTCAACTTTCCACTCACTTTAGTTTTTGAGTGAAAAAATTGTTTGTAAAGTCTTACTTCACAAAACATCATTATTTTTAAAAAATAATAACTCCATTAATAATGACTCAATCGTTTTTAGTTTTTAGTATTTTTTATATTGAATCTTTAGGAAAAAGTACCCAAAATTTTAACTCTTCACTCACTTTATTTTTTGAATTAAAAAATTGTTTGTAAAGTCTTACTTTACAAAACATCATTATATAAACAAAATCATAACTCCATTAATAATAACTTAATCGCTTTGAGTTTTTAGTATTTTTTACATTGAATCTTCAGGAAAAAGTCCTCAAAATTTTAACTCTTCACTCACTTTATTTTTTGAAATAAAAAATTGTTTGTAAAGTCTTACATTACAAAACATCATTATTTTCAAAAAATCGTAACTCCATTAATAATAACTCAATCGCTCTGAGTTTATGGTATTTTTCACATTGAACCTTTAGGAAAAAGTCCTTAAAATTTCAACTTTCCACTCACTTTAGTTTTTGAGTGAAAAAATTGTTTGTAAAGTCTTACTTTACAAAACATCATTATTTGAAAAAAATCATTAGGTACTCCAATAATAATAACTCAATCGCTCTGAGTTTATGGTATTTTTTACATTGAAGCTTAAGGAAAAAATCCTCAAAATTTCAACTTTCCACTCACTTTAGTTTTTGAGTGAAAAAATTGTTTGTAAAGTCTTACTTTACAAAACATCATTATTTTTAAAAAATCATAACTCCATTAATAATAACTCAATCGCTCTGAGTTTATGGTATTTTTTACATTGAACCTTTAGGAAAAAGTCCTTAAAATTTCAACTTTCCACTCACTTTAGTTTTTGAGTGAAAAAATTGTTTGTAAAGTCTTACTTCACAAAACATCATTATTTTTAAAAAATAATAACTCCATTAATAATGACTCAATCGTTTTTAGTTTTTAGTATTTTTTATATTGAATCTTTAGGAAAAAGTACCCAAAATTTTAACTCTTCACTCACTTTATTTTTTGAATTAAAAAATTGTTTGTAAAGTCTTACTTTACAAAACATCATTATATAAACAAAATCATAACTCCATTAATAATAACTTAATCGCTTTGAGTTTTTAGTATTTTTTACATTGAATCTTCAGGAAAAAGTCCTCAAAATTTTAACTCTTCACTCACTTTATTTTTTGAAATAAAAAATTGTTTGTAAAGTCTTACATTACAAAACATCATTATTTTCAAAAAATCGTAACTCCATTAATAATAACTCAATCGCTCTGAGTTTATGGTATTTTTCACATTGAACCTTTAGGAAAAAGTCCTTAAAATTTCAACTTTCCACTCACTTTAGTTTTTGAGTGAAAAAATTGTTTGTAAAGTCTTACTTTACAAAACATCATTATTTAAAAAAAATCATAACTCCATTAATAATAACTCAATCGCTTTGAGTTTTCAATATTTTTTACATTAAATCTTTAGGAAAAAGTCCTCAAAATTTCAACTCTCCACTCACTTTAGTTTTTGAGTGAACTCTAATGTCGGATCAAACTACACGTTTCAGGTGAATGTCTTACTTGAACAGTTCAACAGTATATTGATGAATAGATGGCTGCGGAACTCGCTGCGCTCGTCCCGCAGAGGTCCACCCGTAAGTTCCGCAACAATTCACTTATTTGTATTTAAACAATAACTTTTTATATAAAGTCAAAATTTATAGGATCATGATTATTCACTTTTTGTCAATTTGCTTTTCAACAGGAATTACTAATGTTACTTTACCAAACTAGTAACATAATGTGACACGTTATTCAAGTACAAATGAGTGAATTGTTGCGGAACTTATGAGTGGACCTCTGCGGGACGAGCGCAGCGAGTTCCGCAGCCATCTACTCACCAATATACTGTTCAAGTAAGACATTCACCTGAAACGTGTAGTAATGAGAATAACTCACATTTGAGTGAGTCAGACTGGTATCGTAATTGAACAACATATTGAGGAATAATAGATGGCTGCGGAACTCGCTGCGCTCGTCCCGCAGAGGTCCACCCATAAGTTCCACAACAATTGACTCATTTGTACTTGAATAACTTGTCACATTATTTCATTTCATTTCATTTCATTTATTGAATAACTTTACAAACACCTACAGTAATTACATGCAAAGTAAAAAAGACACACATTAAAAAATACACAAAAACCTACTTAAAACTTAAAAATATGAGGACAGTCTATGATGTTATCAAGGCAATTATCTGTCTCAGACTGCTGTGGAACATATCTATTCTGTTATAGAGCTTCAGGAATTCATTTACTATTATTTGCATATTAGATAAAGGGGACAAACTGTCATTGGGGTCTACCCAGAATAATCCTCTATTGACAATTCTTAGACCAATTTTAGGAACATTAAAACTGATATGCCTGGTAAGATCACAGTGTTGATATTTCTTATGGTTTACAATATTATAAATTAAGATTATAGCTTCTAATGTTCTAGTTTGGTAAAGTAACATTACTAATTCCTGTTGAAAGGCAAATTGACAAAAAGTGAATAATCTTGATCTTACAAATTTTGACTTTATATAATAAGCTATTGTTCAAATACAAATAAGTGGATTATTGCGGAACTTATGGGTGGACCTCTGCGGGACCAGCGCAGCGAGTTCCGCAGCCATCTACTTACCAATATACTGTTGAACTGTTCAAATAAAACACTCACCTGAAATGTGTAGCTTTTGAACTAATGAGAATAATGCACATCTGAGTGAGTCAGTTTAGTATTATTATTAAACAACATATTGATGAATGGATGGCTGCGTAAGTATAAATAAATGGATTGTTGCGGAACTTATGGGTGGACCTGGGCCATCTAATCACCAATATACTGTTGAACTGTTTATATAAATGTTAACCAATAAGGACATCCTGTATTTCAGAAAAACGACCACTCTGTATACATGCCCCACAATCACACATCATGCTATTCAAAACCTACTTATCGCTTGAAGATAATAATTCCAAGATAACCAATGTTATTTTAGAAATATATATTCAGTTTAATAGTGTGGTGCTGCGAGCATAGTCGGCAGTTAAGTATCTACCAGATAAAGATGCCTCTTGTTACAGATACACAAGTCCTCAAGGACCTTGCCACCAGAATTAGGATTCTGAGTGTACAAAGTACTGCTGCTGCCAATTCTGGGTAAGTACCATAATAATTACTCAATGATTATTTTGAATATCGATGAACACTTTAATGGTGCATGAAGAACCCTCAAGTATTTCATGACATTTTTCCAAATTCGTAGGGCCTTTTTAGTCCTTATCTCACCTATCCACCAAATTAATTATCTACCGATAACATTATTACACTACAAGGTGTGTTCGTCTAGGTATGAAGCACCCTTAAAAATTATAATACATTATTTTAAAATTCGTAGGGGGTTTGACCTCAAGCTCCTTTAGTCCTTATCTCACTCTTGACACAACACAACAAATCAATTACCGATAACATTGACCTTATTATTATTACACAGAGGTCATATTGCAGGCATCCGACTACAAGCTCGTCCATAGCCGAAATCCTTTCGGTTCTCTTCTTCAACACCATGCGCTATTCGGTGGCTGAACCTAGGGACCCTTCTAGCGACAGGTTCGTCTTGTCCAAAGGCCACGCCGCTCCGGCCCTGTACGCCGCTTGGGTTGAAAACGGTTTGGTCCCCGAAGCTGAGCTGATGAAGCTGCGTCAGCTGGGCAGCGATCTCGAAGGCCATCCGACTCCGAGGCTCAGCTTCATCGACGTGGGCACTGGTTCTTTGGGCCAGGGCCTCGCCATCGCTGCTGGTATGGCTTATGTTACTAAACACTATGACAGAATTGATGCTAGAACTTATTGCCTGATCGGTGACGGCGAAAGTGCTGAAGGTTCAATTTGGGAGTCGATTGCCTTCATTAGCCATTACAATTTGGACAATGTAGTACTTATTATTGATGCCAACAGGCTGGGGCAATCCGAACCATCTCCAGTGGGGCACAATTTAGATATTTTCAAGGCTAGATTAGATGCTTTCGGTTGGAATTCGTTAATAGTCGATGGACACAATGTTGAGGCTCTTGTAAAGGCTTTCGATTTGGCTAGTGCTACCAAAGGAAAACCCACAGCGATTATTGCTAAGACTTATAAAGGCAGAGACTTTCCTGGCATTGAAGACAAAGAAGGCTGGCACGGTAAAGCTTTGGGCAACGAAACCGAAAGGGTTTTGAAGCATTTGCAAGGATTGATAGTCAACAAGGGCAAATTGAATTACACCATTCCTCCACCAGTAAAACATGCACCTGTTGTTAACATCCAAGACATTCAGTTGAGTTCTCCTCCCAGTTATAAGGTGGGCGACTCGTTAGCCACAAGACAAGCTTATGGTTCTGCTTTAGTAAAAATAGCCCAAAACAACCCTAGAGTAATTGCGCTGGACGGTGATATGAAAAACTCCACATTTTCTGAAAAATTGAAGCAATTCGACAATAGTAGATACATTGAGTGCTTCATTGCTGAACAAAACCTGGTCGGTGTGGCTGTAGGAGCCACTTGCCGTGACAGAACTGTTGCCTTTGTGTCCACCTTTGCTGCTTTCCTAACCAGAGCTTTCGATCAGGTAACTAATACAACTTATAGCCAACAATTTTACAAATATTGTTTCTAGATTCGTATGGCCGCAATCTCGCAAAGCAACGTCAACTTTGTAGGCTCGCACTGTGGTGTTTCCATTGGAGAAGACGGTGCCAGTCAGATGGCTCTGGAAGACTTAGCAATGTTCAGATCAATTCCTGGATGTACCATATTTTATCCAGCTGATGCTGTTTCATGTGAAAGGGCTATTGAGCTGGCTGCTAACACTCCTGGAATAACTTTCACTAGAGTCAATCGACCTGCTACTAAAGTGATTTATACTAATGCACATAAATTCCAGGTAATTTTTGCCTGATATTATAGCTTCATCTTTACTCCTATAATTTATTTTAGATTGGTAAATCAAATGTAATAGTTTCCTCTCCAAAAGACCAAGTTCTTTTCATTGGAGGCGGAATTACGCTGCAAGAAGGCATTACAGCTGCTGAAATCCTGCAAAAACAAGGCATCCATGTACGAGTCCTTGATTTGTTCACCATCAAGCCCATTGACCAAGAAGGAATCATCAGAAATGCAAGAGAATGTGGTAATAGGATTTTGGTAGTGGAAGATCATTATCCAGAAGGTGGTATAGGCGAAGCCGTTTTGTCCGCAGTGTCAGAAATCAGGGACGTTTACGTGAAAAAGGTGGCGGTGCCCAGGGTGCCCAGGTCTGGCACCCCCGCCCAAGTCTTGGACTACTACGGTTTGACCGCCAAACATATTGTAAACCATTTGTTGAATGTGATTAAAAATTAATGAATAAATTTTGATAATTCCATAGAGACAAAAGTTTATTGTTGAAAGGAAAAGGGCGATTAACGTCCGCAGTCTTTTGTCGGTCGAATGATGAATGTCGCAAAAACTTTTATGCAATTAGAATTTAATTAATTATGCGATATGAATGAGTCGCTTTTCTTGCCCCCTTTTCATCGGAATATGATTTAGAGGCTACGGATTTTCATTTTGACTCAAATTTAAGCGTTTCCTTTGTCCGTGGCTTGTAACTTAAAATGATCAATGCCCCTCTTCTTTCAATCGGTAAAAAGTATGTATAGTAGGCCACTCGATGGACGGATGCATCGGTCCCTTGGGAGAGCTTTTCTCTGGCTCCGAAATTGACCGAAAGAGATATTGGATAGGATAATAATGGGTATAGGAGGCTTCTTTATTGAAAATAGAGTCGGAAAAAGTCATATACAGGGTGTTCATTTAGTGTGATATCTTCTTACAGAGTGATGCAAGAAATAGTTATTTATATTACTAGTAGGGTATGAACTTCATTGCAGTAACGAGTGGGGAATATTGCCAAGATGAGGTCGTAGACCGGGTCGTGGTAATCACACGAGTGATGTAATAAGCCTTACTGTACGTGTGATATACAACATTTTATGTACGATTCAGTGTCGTTTTTCAATAAAAATGAGTTACGTAATGAGCTTATTACATCACTAAGGGCGGGTATTATAAAACTATTTTGAGAGATAGCAAAAAGTTAACTTGTGGAATTACTATGGGAAGACGTAATTCCAGAAGTTAACTTTTAGGTTAACTGTTAAAATAGTTTTATAATATCCTCCCTAAGGACGATAATACAACCTTTTACGTAACTCAAATAGGCTGAAATTAGTTACGTAATAAGTTCTTACAGTGTGGGTCATACATAAAAAAAATTAAATTACAAAGTTGTTTGATGCTCTAAGGTGCATTATTTAAAAACATTTTTGAATATACAGGGTGCTTCGTGAATGGGGTACTTATGCGACAAAACTTTATTATTTTAAATGGAACACCCTATATTTCATTACATTAATGGATCGTTCTAAAAACCCCACATACTTTGTGTTAGGAATTATCTTTATTTTTAACCATATATGAAATGTTGTCATTACTAACTTTTCAAAAATTTGAAAATGTCACATTTCTGTCTTTTCATTTTCCTGCTCCATTACCTGTCCCAGGACGGGAAATTTTTTCCATGAATTCAATCCTATGTACAGTTTTTGAATAATCATTTAGATTCCTATGTATACGCGAGCCCGAAGGGCCGGAGTTTTACGTCAGCCCGAAGGGTTGGAGTTACCCGCGAGCCGGAAGGGCCGGAGTTATACGTCAGCCCGAAGGGCTGGAGTTATACGCGAGCCCGAAGGGCCGGAGTTATACGAGCCCGAAGGGTCGGGGTTATTTTAATCACGAGCCCGGAGGGCCGCGGCTTAATCTATAATTCTATTGGTCGGTGTATAATTTAAAGCTAATCAAAAAACGGCAATATTTAAAATGTAATTTTTGGTATTTTCCTGTTTTTGACTATTCCCTTAACCTTTCCATGTTAGTATGAATTCAATCCTATGTACAATTTTTGAATAATCATATAGTATTTTATGTAGGTACAGTTTTTGGATAATCATACAGTTTTGTATATTTTCGTATGGTTCTATAAAAACTCCGGCCCTTCGGGCTCGCAACCAAAAATACTCTCGCCCTACGGGCTCGTAATTATAAATACTCCGGCCCTTCGGGCTCGCAGTTCCCGAAACAAAAAGACATCATACAGTTTCCTGTGTAGGTACAGGGTGAGTCATTATATTTTGACATCCACCTGCAGCCGTAATTACAGGTGATAGGTAGAAAGTGTAAATACAAAAGTTGTAGCTTTTTATCTGAACTCTGAACCGCCAGAGTTTTTAATTAGATGGAACAAATGAGCAGCAAGACAAAGTGGAAAAATATGTCAAAGTTAACTTTTTTTAAATGGAATGCATTTTATTTTCTTTCAAATTCTTAAAGTTCTCGTTTTTCTGATTCAGATTATAATATGTTGATGCTTTTTTCAATAATTTTAGAAATATCTGGAGTTTAGTTATTCAAAGATCTATTCACGTATCACAATGTTTTGCGATAGGTTACAGGTAAATCAAGGTGAAATTTATTCAAAAAACTACTCTCTTTGAATAACTAAACTCCAGATATTTCCAAAACTATCAAAAGAAACACTAACATATTATATAATCTGAATCAGAAAAACGAGAACTTTAAGAATTTGAAAGAAAATAAAGGGCATTCCATTTGAAAAAAGTGAACATTGACATATTTTTCCACTTTTTGTTGCTTATTTGTACAATCTATTTGAAAATTCTGGCGGTTCAGATGAAATACTACAACTTTTGTATTTACACCGTTCACCTATCACCTGTAATTACTGCTGCAGGTGGGTGTCAAAATATGGTGACTCACCCTGTACAGTTTTTGAATAATCATACAGTCTTGTATATTTTCGTACGGTTCTCCATTCGTTCGTAAGTCGATCGAGTGTACGCCACTGGTATTTTCCTGTTTTTGACTATTCTCATTCCCTCAACTCAGGGTCCTATGAAAATCTGATAACATTTTACAGGGTGTGTTCACAATACTGTACAGAAAAACGAGACATTTCAAAGAACCATAGGTCATTCAAATATTTCAAAAACGATTGAGTTTTGGAATTCTTAAGAAAAAGTATGTAGGATTTTTAGGACTATTCAAATATAGGGTGTTCCATTTGAAATAACAAAATTCTGTCGCGTAGGCCCCATTTACAAAGCACCCTGTATCTTCAAAAATATTTTTAGCTAATGCACCTTAGAGTATCAAACAACTTATCGCATTAAGTGGACACCCTGTATATGCCCTTTCTCTTTTCTTGTATCAACTCAAAGGACAATGATTGGGTGATTTTATTGTCAACAGTAAACGCACCAATCGTTAGATTATAGAAATTAATTGATTTTTCCCTTTTCCCATAGACTCGAAACTCATTTTTTAAACATTAGACAGATTCGGATCGGGTTTCATTAAAGAGAACGCACCGCGTAGAAAGAGATATAAGGGTGCGCCCAACCCCTTATGGTATATATTGCGAAACCATGACTGAGCAGCTTTTACCAGTTTTTTATCCTATACATATAAAACCAGAGACGAATCGAGGAATAAATTTTCCTTTATTTACAATTTCCTCATTGTTTCATCGATGGTCACTATTTCAAAGTCGATCCATCTTGATGGCAATCTTTTACCATCCAAAAGCTGTCAGCTGTCTTTTCCGCTTTATCTCCTTTTGTTTCTTTATTGTTTCGCAATCCAGTTATCGATACACTGTCCGCGCGCCCATTCCAGGGAGGATCCTGAGGGACTCTGGCAAGGAGATGGATGGTTTTTTTATATGGGCGTCTGATCAATCAAAATTGAAATTCTGCACACACTAAGAATTCGTATATAATATATGCGCCAAAAGATATGGTTGTGTCCACTGGCGCTTTGAGGCCTGCTCGAGATATGCCATCGAAAAAAAAATAAAAACCCCTTTGGTAATAATAGGGTACCAGTACCGGTAATGGGTTCCCTTAAACGATTCTGCGGGGATTTAATTTGTTTTTATAGCTTTGATTACTGCTCGCTATAATTTGGAAACGTTTTAATAAAAATGAGTCCCTCGGATGGACGGATGAAATGCTCTTCTTCTTCTTCTCTTGTTGTGTGTTTTTTTTTTTGCGCTTAGCTCTTCGGGACATGATTGATGTGCCGTCTAACAGCCTATTTTTCAGCTTTATCTCTTTTATATCTCTCTCTCCGTGTTCCACTGTAATTTAACTTTAATATAAAAAGTTTTTTCTTGCTTTGGAAAAAGTCTCCTCTTTTTCTTGATCCTCCAATTATTATTTTCGGCGCGCCAAGATACGATTTCGGAAAAAGGGTTGCCAGAGGAGATTAATGAATATTAATTGGGTTTCTTTTTTAATCAATACGCTATACACATTTTGCATTTTTTATGTGGATTTAAGATGTCCTCTCCTATATATGTTTGTGAGCTGGTTTCTGCAAAGGTCGGTCGATAGCTGAGCCGTAGCTCCAGGCGCTGTTGTCGTCCTCCCACTTTTATTTGTCTAGATGTCTAGTATTATACAATTTCTGGAGAGAGGTTCTTATTTGTCCTCATGCCGAATTCCTGCGCAGTAAAAGGACAAATCTAGAAACTGGCAATTGTACATTGAGAAAGAAAAAAAAAACTGGAAGCACCTCCCAATGAGAGAAAAGAGCCTATTCCAGAAGAGAACCGCCGCGCGCATTAAGATCCACAGCAATGCGAATTTCTGGCATTGCTGCATCGCGAGCCGAATGTTCCCATTGGCTCGTTCCAGGGAGTTTCTCGTATTGTCATTGGCCCGGCGCCTGGAAAACGACACTCCAATCCAACAAAAGTCAAAATTATACGGCTGCTCCGTGCGATTATTCCGTTTCCAGGATTCCCACGCCGAAATTCCGTGTGACTGTTGCCCGGTTTTCTCTCTGTGTCTGCGACGCCGCCCCGCCGCCTTGCCATCTCAAAATCAATAAAACAAAAGGCGGAAACTTATTACCAACCCCCCTCCTCAACACCTCATTCAGTTTCTCAACCATCCAACCCATTTCCAGATTTTGTTTGTCCCTATATACACATATTACCAATCTTATTGCAACTTAAAAAAGTCTCATTACATATTATCCAGCTTCTGCGTTATCCAGTTTTCGGTTCCACCCATAATATCGACGGTCGAGGGTGGGTGGGTGGTCGAATCCCCCCCTTGAAGCTCTCGCTTCGTCCTGCGGCGTCCCACCTTTATAATATCTCATAAAAACGTCAATAAAACGAAACGTTTTCTTTCACACTATGCTAAGTGACTCGCGCGCCCCGGGTTTCCAGACCGTAACGAATTTTCCAAAGCGAGGAAAACGTATTGGGTTTTCGACGAGAGAAGCTTTTCCAGGCCTTTCTTGGCTATAAAAGTTTTGTTCCAGGTGCATGTATGGATCGACCTTATCAGGATTCAGGCATTTCAAGCCAATTGAGTAAAAAAACGTTCAATTTTCAATGATTCTTGTTTTTTATTTATTTATTATACAAGTATATATTCTTATTGACTTATCGGTGAATGCGTTGCCTTGCACATAATAAAAATGCCTCTAGTAGAATAAGTGAGGACACCTAGTATAGAAATCTCAACTAATTTAGAGTCAGAATAACAGCCTTATAGGGCAGTATTGGCTGGACAAGGTTAATGGGGTTGGTCTGCATATGACTAAACTTGTACTGACGAAAACATTAACAGATCCCTGCTCGGGCGCCAAAATCAGGGCGGATTCCCAGTTAGGGTTTATTCGGCAGTACGTCTCGGGCACCACCCTCAGATTAAAGTGGTTGAGGACCCACGTGCACCAGGCAGTTTTGTTACAGTGGAGAAATTATATAGGTAGGTATGGGACGTCCTTACCTAGAAGGGATATTCTAAGGTAATGAAAAAAAACTATTCATTCAATGTCCGGTAAAGTGCCCATGGGTTGAAACTCATGAGTGACCACGGGGCAAATTGTACCATTAAAATTGGTGCAAAATTGTTTTTCATTTATTATGCAAGTAAATATTCTTATTGACTTATGGTGAATGCGTTGCCTTACACACATAATAAAAATGTCTCTAGTGGAATAAGTAAGGACACCTAGTATAGAAATCTCAAAGCTAAATATGCCTCCACCCTGCTATCAATAATCTCCTCAACTTCTTCCTAACGTTGATCATCTCTTTTCTATCAGCTAAATTCAAATTTTCTTGAGGATCAATTAGGTGATCATACATTTCCCTGCCGTAAACCTTATTCCAATTAACAGTGAAATTACTATGATCAAATTGCACCCATTCACAATACCTAAATGTCCTAGTTCTAATAGAATAACCCATTATTTCAATATCTTTTAAATGTGGCTTATCACTGTTGCAACTAGGATGCGCTCCAGGTCTTGGATATTGCGTAAATACAGCCGATTTGCCTTTTTTGGCTCCAATCATCACAGGCAACAAACTTTGCCCCTCTGTGCAAACATCCATAACTTCACCCAAAGCACATTGCTCCAATGGACCAGAAATTTGAGTCAAATCCACTAAAGTCGGAAACAAATCCACCAATTCAACAAGAGAATCCACTACAATTACTCTATCACTCAAATGTGGTACATAAATTATTAGTGGCACCCGTGTTGCCTCCTCAAAATTGCTAAACTTTGAAAACTCGCCGTGTTGTCCCAAAGACCAACCATGATCTCCTGTTAATATTACTATGGTGTTTCCAAAATCCACTTCCTTGAGGACTTTGCCTATTAAATCATCCACATATGTAACCGAAGCGTAATAGGCTTGAATTATTTGTTTTATATTGTCATTTGAAATAGGCCCATAAGGAAATGAGATGTTTAGCTTTTTAATGTCATCTCTTTCTCTTATATCAGTCCATGGGTTCCAAGCAACATCAGGCAACAGGGAAGGCCTGTTTGTATTTGAGGGCAATGAAATGTTGCTCAAAGGATGTAAATCTTTATGGGAATTTTCTTATTAGTATTTAATGCTTTTATGTAAAATAGCTCTTACCTAAATATGATTGAGGAAATTTAAAAGGTATGTGCGGTTTGTGGAAGCCCACAGCCAAAAAATACGGCTTATTGGTTGATGGGTGGTTTCTCAAAAATCTTACTGCTTCTTGCATTGATTCAATGTCTGGTAAAGTGCCCATTGGTTGAAACTCAGTAACCACTGGGCAAATTAAGTTCCTGCCTAAACTACCATCAGAATTGGTGCAAACTTTGGCGTTTTTAAACTCTATGGTTTTTGGATGAAACGGTTTCTGGCTCCAGCTATAGGGCTGATCATCAGAATAGTTAGAGGAAATACCAGGATGGAATATTTTACCAACTGAATGCGTGTGGTAGTGGTTTTGCTTGAAATGCTGAGGCAAAGTTGTAAAATTTCCAGCGCTTTCACGCCAGTAACTGTAGAAATCGTACAACCGCAAACTGTCTGGCCTCCTGCTGGTCAGCAAAGAGTTTCTACTAGGGGCGCAAAGGGCTTGCTACAAGCAACCAGTTAAGTTTCAAAACAACAATTATAAAACCCTATATTACCTGTGCATAAGCTTTGGTAAATATGAAACTTTTAGAGGCCAGTAAATCTATGTGAGGAGTCACAGCTTGCGAATCGTTGTAACATCCCAACAGGGGCTTGAAATCGTCCAGAATTATCAGTAAAACGTTTGGATGATAGGCACAGGTAATCTCAATAAATGATATTACAAATAGGATTGTTAAAAAGGACATTTTTGTTTTGGTATTTTGTATCAAAACAAACAAGTGTTAAGAGCGTTTTACAATAAATGTCATGTACTGATTTGTAATTGAGATGTTTTTCTATATAGATGGAGACTGTACGATGGAGTCTACAAAATTGTATTAACTTGTGTTTAGACATCATCATTATTTTATCTACAACTCTCCAAAGATGGATTTTTTTGTGTAAAACTTTGATATTTACAAATCTCTAGCAAGCATACTCCAAAACTCCAGAGTACGCTTAGCAAATCTTGAAACTTTTAAGGTCTTGCTAGTGATACAATTAATATGGTAATTGAATGAAAGTTCTCTGTTGAAGGAAACTCCCAGATCCTTTATACAGTCCACTGTCTCTAAGGTCTCATTATTTATGTTGTACTCAAACTTAATTATGTTCGTTTTTCTATAGAAATGTATAACATTACATTTTTTTGTATCAAATTCCATCGCATTTAGGTTACACCAAGAAATCAGATAATCAAAGGTCTTCCAGGGACTTTATTCTCAAAAAAACCGAGGAACAGCTTCCCCAATTTTTTTTTTTGAGAACACTGCTCCCCTGTTTCGAGAATAAAGTCCCTGAAGTTTTTCACATTCTTCCATGGATTCAATGCATTTGTATAACTTTAGATAATCTGTATTCAAAAGTATGTCAGAGTGCTGTACAACAATAAGTAGAAATATCATTGATAAAAACATTGGACAGCAACGAAAACAGATGAGTTTCTTGAAGTATTCCAGAAGTTACGTCATGTATTTTCCTTGACAGAGCATCCTTCATTTTAACAAACTGACATCTGTTTCCAAGATAACTATGAAACCAACGAGGGGTAACTGAGATATTTCCATGTACCTATTATAATAACAAGTTATTGCCAACTATTAACAAAATATTTCCACATATTGCTAGGTACTTCCCTAGTATTATCACATATTACCAGGTATTGCCATGCTATTGATAGACTAAAATGAAATATTTGTCTTGACAGAATTCTAGGTATTGAGTTATAAGTACACAGGTATTTTCATGTTATTAATATGTATCAATGACATTAACATATAAATTACCTACATAATTAACAAGTAGGTATTGCATAGTATTGACACTATTGACATAGTATTTATCTGGTATTGACATATAATAACCAGTGATTTGTACACCAATTAACAAGGTGAAAAACCCCATGCTTGATTCTTTCAGTTGTGAGTTTTTCTTATTAGTTTAAAAACTACATATTTCAGGTGAATGTCTTACTTGAACAGTTCAACAATATATTGGTAAGTAGATGGCTGCGGAACTCGCTGCGCTCGTCCCGCAGAGGTCCACCCATAAGTTCCGCAATAATTTACTTATTTGTACAGGGTGTTTTTGTATATATTAATACCCCACCTACAGCTTTTACCTTTACAGGTAGAAGAAAGGTGTAAATACTCGTCCCAGAAAAGTGCACCCATAAGTTCCGCAACAATCCACTTATTTGTACTTGAAAAATAATTTATTATATAAAGTGAGAATTTGTTAGATTATCCATTTTTCGTCAATTCGCCTTTCAACAGGATTCAGTAATGTTACTTTACTAATTAAAGTAACTTTACCAAACTAGGAACATAATGTGACAAGTTATTCAAGTACAAACGAGTGGATTGTTGCGGAACTTATGGGTGGACCTCTGCCATCTATTTATCAACATGTTGTTCAAGTACAAAATTTGTACACCGATTAAGATATTCCCATGTATCAATAGATATTTCTATGTACCTAATAACAAGTTATTGCCAACTATTTCCATGTATTAAAAAAATATTTCCACATGGCAATATGTGGACTTCCCTAGTATTATCACTTATTACCAGATATTGCCATGCTATTGACAGACTAAAATCAAATATTTGTCTTGCCAGAATTCTAGGTATCGACATATACACAGGTATTTTCATGTTATTAATATGTATCAATATCAACCAATGATATTGCCTAGATATCTACAAGTATTGACATATATTACCTACATAATTAACAAGTAGGCATTGCATAGTATTGACACTATTGACATAGTATTTACCTGGTATTGACATATATTCACCAGTTATTTCTAAACCGATTAACAAAGTGAAAAACCCCTAGGAAATCAAGCAAGCATATTTCCAAAAAATACCAGAGTTTGCCATTAATAGGTATGTCATGATTAATCTTGCTAAAATCAGTGTATATATGGAGTCGATTTGTCATCTGGCTTCCAGTGAATAGTGAATGTATACTCTGTTCATATTCATTAAATTTGAAACTGTTGATCTGTCCTTAATAAACCCATACTAATGTTCTATTAGAATTCCCTGAAGTTGGGGAACTAATTTTGAGTATACAACAGAGTCAAACAATTTAGGGAATAAAGAGAATTTAGTGATGATGGCTCTATAATCCGAAACCTCTGACATGTTTCCACTTTCAAATACTGGTGTAATGTAATATATGACTGCTTCCAAGCCTCAGGAAATCTACTGGTATTTTAAGAATTGACAGATGTTATATGATCAAGCAAGGGAACATTACAATCTCTATACTGAAGACAAAAACAATAAATTTTAACAGTAACTTACCCAAATATGTAAAAATGTGCTTTGTAGTATCTTTGGGAATCCCACAAAATATTGACTTGTAAACAACTTATTATAGAAACCGTGTGCAAAGTCGCCTTTGTACCAATGAGAACAGTGGATTATAAACAACTTATTATGCGCCAATTGTACTTATGGGAATCCCACAAAACAGTGACAATTTACTACAGATATCCTGTGTAAAGTCACCTTTACCGACCAAGGTCAGCGCTTTTCAGCAACACTGTTATTACAATGGGATTTTTATACCAATCTAGGGAATTTTTGACGCTTGTATGGGGAATTTCAACTACACCGATCTACCAACACTGTATTAGACTTTGTTCATATATCATCAAGGTTGTTAGTTTGTAACTGTTGATCTACCCTTGATAAACCCATGCTAATGTTCTACTAGAATTACTTACCTGAAGTTGGGGAACTAATTTTGAGTATACATACAATAGAGTCAAAGAATTTAGGGAATAGAGAGAACTTGGTGATGGCTCTATAATTAGAAACTTCTGACTTGTTTCCACTTTTAAATATTGATGTAATGTACCAGTGGCGCATCCAGGGGGAGGGCTATCGGGCTAGGCCACCCCTCCAATGCTGTATTTTTACGTTTAAAAAATGTAGCAACATCAAGTCGTGGCACCCTGACACCTCAAATTTTTGTTTAGAATTAGATTTTCTGGATTTTCAGTCATAAGCCACAACCTATGTAGGGCCCCCCCAAAAATATTTTCTGGGTGCGCCACTGTAATGTAATATATGACTGCTTCCAAGCCTCAGGAAATCTACCGATAATCAAGGATTGACTGATGTAATATGAACAAGGGAACATTACAATCTCTATACTAAACACAAAAACAATGAATTTTAGCAGTAACTTACCCAAACATGTAAAAACACGCTTTGTCCATGGGAATCCAACGAAAACATTGACTTGTAAACAACTTATTACAGAAATCGTGTCGTCTTTGTACCAATGGGAACATAATAGCCATGGGAATCCCACAAAATAGTGACCAACTTACTACAGAAATCGTGTGTAAAGTCACCTTTACCGACCGAGGTCAGCAACACTGTTATTGCAACGCTGTTACTAGCCTGACTTTTCTCGTTTTTCGATAAACCTTGCAACGTAGCATGTTCATTGATTGTGTCAGAATTATTTATGAATGGTTGTAAGAATGTTTGGTGTTTAGGTTAGAAGAGAGAAAATAATCAAATCTCTCCAGGGTGTGGCTGGTTTTTTAAATAAAATAAAATAATTAATTATTGCATGGAATGTGTCTACTAATTTAAATATTTATTTAAAGAAACGAGGTCAGAATATAAAGACTTTGTACCCTATACAATGACTAATAATCTCCCATTTCAAACCCAAAAACTATAGTAGTAGAATGAAGATAAACACTGAAACATAAAACAATGTCCAGGCTAGCTGACTATTTCGTTGTCGTTGGATATGATTACCAAAAAGAAAGTAAGTAACTCCCTATAATTCAAAACAACACAATAAAACATTAACTATAGGAAGTGGCACAATAATCCAAAGATTCCCACAAAAAGACTGGCCAGACACCCCATTCATTGACGGCATAGAATGGGTAAGTACCACCACCCACAACCCCTCAAAAAAACTAACATCTAGTCCAGTTTTGTCAGCCACAAGGATGGACATTGTCCACAGAAAGGCAAGAGCCCAGATTCTTTGTGTCTGTACTAACAGACATGGATGCAAACCGTCACTATTGTGCATGTCTATGTTTCAACGAAACAGTCTCAATAACACCCAGCAAACCAGTTGATGAAGAAGAAGACAATGTTGATGGACTATTAAAACCAATCCTGCCACCTTCAATATCGCATAGCAGCATCATGTATGCACCCAAGTGTCTGGTTTTAGTTTCCAGGCTGGATTATATTGAAACTTTTAGGGTAAATAATTAATATATAACTTCCATTTAATTAATAATATTTTTTATAAATAGAATTGTCTAGGCATAATGTACTGTGTCTATGTGGAAAACATGCCAGTCCCTTTGGAAACCCTCGTAGGCAATATTCTGGGTTGTATACAAGTGCCACCTCCAGGTGGGCCTCAAGTCAGATTTAGTATCGGTGCTGGAGACAGGCAAGCCTTGCAACCACCCCTATCGCCTTCCCTGCCTGTTACGCACACCTCAGTCAATTTGCTGTTTCAGCAATTAGGAATTAGAAACGTGCTGACTCTATTCTGTGCCATAATGACCGAACACAAAATACTCTTTCACTCGAAAAGCTATAATAGATTGACTGAAGCTTGTAGGGCTCTGACAGCACTTATGTACCCCTTTAGATATACTCATGTTTATATTCCCTTGCTGCCAGCTGCTTTAGTTGAAGTCTTATCTACTCCAACTCCTTTTATAATGGGGGTGCATTCGTCATTGAGAGCAGAAGTTGCAGAACAGGTACGATAAAAATAAAATGTAAAATGCACCATTTGCATCTTGTTTTTTAGATGGATGTTATTGTAGCTGACTTAGATGGAGGTTCTATATTGATCCCAGATGGAATTTCCTTGCCCTTATTGTCAGAACCCTTGTTCAGCCACACTCAGGAAGCACTAAGCTTAATTCTACAGCCTGAATTATGTTGCGCTGATCACGCTTTTCCTCCCATAGCTCTTAGAGCGCCTCAGCCTGTGATGCTAGACAAGGAAATACGTGCTGTTTTCATGAGGACTTTTGCTCAACTATTGCAAGGGTAAACTTGCTGGTTTATGTTTGTGTGTGGAAATTAATTGAATTGTTTTTCAGGTATCGTAGTTGTTTGACTTTGATCCGGATCCATCCAAAGCCCGTTATAACGTTTCATAAGGCGGCGTTTTTGGGTGAGTTTAAGGCTACAGGTAGGTAAAGGTTTTGTTGGAATAAAATAAAATCCTGTGAATTGATTTTTTGAATAAGAATGCATTTGCCCACATGTCAAGAGCAATTTTGCTTTCGCCAATATATCCAAAATACATAGGAGTAAACGCTGCGCCTAGTGGTAGGTCCCACTTCTTTCATTGATTGTGTGCCTACTGTTTGTATAAGGCTAAAACATTGTGGTAACATGATATAACACCTATTGGTAGGTACTGTTTGTAGAAATAATCCTGAGCCTGCCTATTGTGCATATATTAGTAGAGTGCCCAACGTAGTTGAAGCCTTCTAAAAATGAATTCTGATTTCAAAATATTCAAACCTCAATTGCTCGATAACCGTTGAGCAAATTGCGTTCAAATTTTCAGCATTAATAGCTCTTAGTAAGCTCTAAATGGCCTGTAATTTACAATATTTCCAGATTTATAGTTTTTGAGCAAATTGAGTTTGAAGTTTTTGATAAAATTTGGACTAAAAGTCAACTTTGAAGCTCAATTGCTCTAAAACTATTTGAGCTATCGAACTCAATTTATAGAGAATTTAATGCTCTTTCCAATGGTATATAATTTAATTTAATTTGCTCAAAATTTACCAAAGATATGGGCAATTTTTCATGACCATGTCAAGATTTAATTCTCCAGAGCCAAAAAATAGGATTTTCTTTTTATTTTTGTGTCTGCTTAAAATAGCCATTTGGAATTGATATCAGGGTTGTTTTCCACTAATTTTGACCCGCTCTATCGATTCATGAAGTCAAAATTGAGCAAAACTAAAAAATAAAAAAATCGAATTTTTCGTAAAGGGTACGTACCCCTTTGAATTCTAATTTCAAAATATTCGAACCTCAATTGCTCGATAACCGTTGAGCAAATTGCATTAAAATTTCCAAAATTTGTAGCTTTCATTAAGTTCCAAATGGCCTTTAATTTACAATATTTCCAGATTTATAGTATTTGAACAAATTGAGTTTGAAGTTTTTGACAAAATTTGGACTAAAAGTCAACTTTGAGGCTCAATTGCTCTAAAACTATTCGAGCTATCGAACTCAATTTTGCACTGCTATTATAGAGAATTTAATGCTCTTTCCAATGGTATATAATTTATTTCCTTTTGCTTAAAATTTATCAAAGATATGGGCAATTGTTCATGCCCATGTCAGGATTTTGAAAATTTTCCAGAACCAAGAATAGGATTTTATTTTTATTTTTGATTCTAAAATAACCTTCCATTAGGCGTCTGATCAATTTACGAAAAAGAACCTACCTACCAGTAGGCGCACAATCAGTGGATGAAAAAGGACCTACTGAGTAGGTACTGGTGGGCATACGACCGTTGCATAACAAAGTACCTACCTAGTAGGTGTAGAGTTCACTTCCTAAATTCATTACCCAACAACAATTTCCAGGCGAAAGAAACTTACGAGACTGCGATTTCACTACTAGAGTCCTAGACTGTATGTTCTTTACAAGTTTTGTGTCGGAAAGGGGCCCGCCTTGGCGACCCTGCGACGTCTGGGACGAACTTTACAGCAACCTAAACGACATGTTTAAAAAGGAGCAGCAAGATCCACGTCTGGTTTTGGTACATATCCAGGAATTGGCCACTCAATTGTACACCAATGAAATCCCAAATCCACAGTCTTATGCACAAAAAGTACGGGGTTTTTGTTTTGATTTTAAATTAAATTAAATAAGTGTTTGTTTGAAGATCCCTGTGCCACCTGATGGTGCTTTTGCCCGAATTCATCAGCCCGCCTTGCCTACTATAGATGTTGATTTGGTACAGGCCATTATCAACGAGGGAATGTCCAAAAACGATCTCAAAACTAGGTAAATTTATATACAATTTTAAACTTATGCGTTTTCTACTAATACAATTGTTGATTGTGAATTTCTAGTGAAGATCTTAGTTGGTAAGTTTGATGTGCATTTTGTATTGTAATACTTGGCACGCTTGTGTACTAAATAAGGGTCGATTCACAAATAGCAGTGACGTGTTTTTACCGGCCGTAAACTCACAGTGATTTCTATTCATATTAGTCAGTGCTGTGTCAATATAGTTTATAGCCAAATGAAAATATTTTCAGATGAAGAACTTTTGCAGATTGCACTGGTTTTGGATGAAGAAATGGAAGAACAAGTAGAAGAACAGGTAGAAAAACTCCACTGGGTCTATCCTGCATGGATAAAGAGAGGTACAGAAGGGGAATTTAAAACATTATACAAAGAAATAGTAGATGATGCAGCAAAATTTTTTGGATACTTTAGGATGTCAGAAAATTCGTTCAACCTATTGTTGTGCAAGATAGAAGTGTATTTGAAAAAGCATGACACCCTCCAGATAGTATTCTTGAAATCAGAGTCCATTTATTTTGTGTTGCACAGGTCATACAAAACAGGATAATCATGGACCAACTCAGTTTAAATCCACCAGTGACAGCACTGTTTGCACTGTGTACCATCAAATTCCTACAAGAATAATTTTAACTTCGGTCACGGCACTGTCACGTCACTGCTTGCTTTGTATGAATCGACTTTAAAACGCTTATGGCTTTACGTGTTTTTGCTTTTTAAGGCTGTCGTCTCTTAGACCCATCCAACCCAGAATAGTCCCAATGGGACCGCACATATCCAACCTACGCGACAACAAAAATATCGTTAGCAATTCAGCTAGAAGACTAGAGGTAACAAGTCCTTAATTATTCTACCCCAAACAGTTTACCAACAAAATTATCATCATAGGTTTTAAAAAATTGCGTAAATTGCATCTTCGAAAACAAAATATCAGATGCAAGAAAAACATTTCCTGCAGTTTTAAGAGCCTTGCAGTCAAAACAAGCCCGATTAGCCTTATGCAACGAACTGTCTCAGCAAGTAAGCGGCACCAAAGCCATGCTGGAAGACCAGCAATTCGATTTGGTAGTTCGCCTAATGAATTGCGCCCTGCAAGACGACAGTTCCATGGACGAGTACGGTGTTGCCTATGCCCTTTTGCCATTAGCTACCATTTTTTGTAGAAAACTTTGCACCGGCATCATACAATTTGCCTACACTTGCATCCAAGAACATCCGGTGTGGCAAAACCAGCAATTCTGGGAAGCAGCCTTTTATCAAGACGTGCAAAAGGAGCTTAAAGCTTTGTACAAAGATAGCAAAGAAGTACTGAGTCCGAGAGACTGGCACAGAAAATCTATTTTGAAGTTGCAAGAATCCTCAGCTCTGGAAATTGCAGCTGAGCAAATGCGTATTTGGAATTCCATTGATCCAGAGAAGCAAAAGGAGCTTACCACTTGCGAAGAAAACACCATGTATAGTCAGGCAATTCACTATGCTAACAGGATGGTGTATTTGCTGATACCTTTGGATGTTGGCAACAAGACTAGCAAACAAGAGGCTTACGATGATGAAAGAGCCAGCAATAGTATAGCCAATAGTGTTGCAGAAAGTGACAGTGGAGATGCAGAATCAGGCTTTGAAGATCAAGACCCTAGTGAAACTGGCAGCACAGTTATACGGATTGTGTCCAGGTTTATTGACAGAGTTTGCAATGAAGGTAATACAAATCTTAAATAAATGGTAATATGTTGAAGTGTTTTATTATAATAGGTGGAGTTACAAGAGATCACATAAGGAATCTGCACCAAATGATCCCAGGTGTGGTACATATGCATATTGAAACCCTTGAAGGTGTTTATAGGGAATCCAAGAGACGTCCCCCTATACAAAAACCCAAAATACTTACGCCCAATTTGCTAATGGGCGAAGAACTAATCATGGACGGTTTAAGGGTTTATTTATTGCCAGACGGCCGAGAAGAAAGCATTCCAGGGCTCCTTGGGGTTCCGCCTCTGTTGCCTTCAGAAGGGGCCATCTTCCTTACAAATTACAGGATTATATTTAAAGGCATTCCTTGTGACTCGTTTGCTTGCGAGCAAATCATTGTGCGGTCATTTCCGGTAACTTCTTTGACCAAAGAGAAAAAGGTTGCTGTGCAATACTTGGCTCATTTGGATCAGTGGTTGCAAGAGGGACTGCAACTAAGGTAAATTGCTTGTGAAAACTATTTCCAGCAGTGAATAAATTATTATTGCAGATCTTGCACCTTTCAACTAATGAAATTAGCATTTGATGAAGAAGTCACTGCTGAACATATAGACAATTTGCGCAAACTAATTCACAAAGTACGTCATCCGCCCAATTTTTGGCACTTTTTCGCTTTTGCAGGTAAAATCCTCACTCAGTTGAAACACTTATACAAAATCATATATTTTTTTTAAGGCCAAGTGACTGTCAATGAAACCCCCTTGCACAAAAACAAAGAAAAACACGCCACCCTTAAAGGTTTTGCCAAAAAAACCCTACTAAAAACAGCTAGAAAAGCTGGATTCAAACAAAAATCCTCATCAAAAAGACAAAAGTATGTTTTACCCAATGTGAGCAAATATATGACCTCACCAGGAAGAATGAGCCTGCCCTTAGAAGATGACGATGATATATCAGTAAATGACTTTGAACACAACCCCATCCCAACTACCCCAACCCCCACAGATGCAAAAACCCTAGAAAGAATGGTGGAAAGAAGCTACGTCAGAGACTGGCAACGATTGGGGCTTTGCAACAACACCTCTCCCCTCAACTCCAAAGGAGCCCAATTCCGGCTGACATCAGTTAATTCGATTTATTCCATGTGCAGAAGCTATCCTGCTCTTTTAGTAGTACCATCCATAGTCACTGACGAAAGTGTGAGAAGATTTTGTAGATGTTCCAGACAAGGACGGATACCTACAATCACTTGGCGCCATCCCAGGACTAAAGCGTTGCTTTTGAGAGGCGCAGGACATCATGGTAAAAGCGTAATGGGTATGTTAAAAAGTCATCCTACTCCTACTGCTTCTTCAACTGAAACTACTTCATCAAATGAGCAAGAAAAATACTTGTCAGCTATTGTAAGCGCCACTCCAGTCTTTTCCCATAGGTAAGTTTCTAGTTTTTTGAATTGCAATCTATTACATATGAATCTTAGGCCTGGATGGGCAATGTCTGACAGTTCTTTAAGCATTGACTCACTGTTATTGGCCGCAGAAGATCCTTTAGCTTGTGCCACCTTGACTCCTGAAGTAGCACGCAGATCAAATGCTTTTAATAAAGCTATAGGCACTTTGGGGTAAGATTTTTCCGATTATGTATATAGTAGAGTGCTCCTTCTAATATATTTTGACTTTTGTGGGCGAAGTTACAGGCTGAAATTTTCACAGAATGAAGATTTTATTTTGTTAATTCAAAATCCACCCTGATATCAATTCCAAATGCCCATTTTAAGCAGACACAAAAATAAAAAGAGAATCCTATTTTTAGCTCTGGAAAATTTTCCCAATCTTGACATGGTCATGAATAATTGCCCATATCTTTGGTAAATTTTAAGCAAATGGAAATAAATTATACATCATTGGAAAGAGCCTCTAAAATTCTCTATAAATCTGTGCAAAATTGAGCTCGATAGCTCGGATAGTTTTTGAGCAATTGAGCCTCAAGACTTTTAGTCCAAATTTTGTCAAAAACTTCAAACTCAATTTGCTCAGAAACTAGAAATCTGGAAATATTGTAAATTACAGGCCATTTGGAATTTGATAAAAGCTACAAATTCTGGAAATTTTAATACAATTTACTCAAAGGTTACCGAGCAATTGAGGTGTGAATATTTTGAAATCAGAATTCAAAGGGGTTACCCTTATGAAAAATTCGATTTTTTTATTTTTTAGTTTTGCCCAATTTTGATCTTATGAATTAATAGAGCGGGTCAAAATTAGTGGAAAACAACCCTGATATCAATTCCAAATGCCCATTTTAAGCAGACACAAAAATTAAAAGAAAATCCTATTTTTGGCTCTGGAAAATTTTCAAAATCCTGACATGGTTATGAACAATTGCCCATATCTTTGGTGAATTTTGAGCAAATTGAAATAAGTTATACATCATTGGAAAGAGCCTTAAATTCTCTATAAATCTGTGCAAAATTGAGCTCCATAGCTTGGATAATTTTTGAGCAATTGAAAACTTCAAACTCAATTTTCTTGTAACCCCCATGTGTCCACAAAACTCATTTTAAGAAGGCTTTAACTGCCCTGGGCACTCTACTATAACCAACAATCAACATTATTATTATTAGGGTATTTCCACGTCATTCTGGTGGCAAAGGACCTAGAAACTTTGGTCGTTGGGGTTCATTGAAAGACAGACGCCAATCATCTCAAGCCTCCTTGAGCCAAACACCACAATCCCGAGCCACAATAAGACATTCTGCTGATTTGGACAATACTTCAGATAGCGTGCATACCTTGCAAAGGGCCGCACTGTACATTTTAGGCGAAAAGGCCCAAATGAAGGGCATCCGTATGGAGTCGGCTCCTAAATCAGACTACATCCCTGTGGATTATTTTGATGTCAGGCACACAAAGGCTGCCTTCAAGAAATTAATGCGAGCCTGTGTGCCAAGTTCTCAAAATGTTGAACCTGAACACAGCTTTCATAAACTTATAGAAAACTCTGAATGGTTGCAACAAATACAAAATATTATGCAATTAGCTGGGGCAGTTGTTGATTTGTTGGATTTGCAAGGCTCCAGTGTTGCTATTTGTTTGGAAGAAGGCTGGGATATTACTGCGCAAGTGGCTTCTGTAGCTCAACTATGTCTTGACCCACATTACAGAACTATTGAAGGCTTTAGAGTACTTGTAGAAAAAGAGTGGATTGGGTTTGGGCATAGATTTAGTCACAGGTAATTGTCTTGTTGAATGTTGAGTATAATTTATTACTAAAAATGTTTCAGGAGCAATTTGAATGCCAACTCACAAGCTAGTGGTTTTGCACCTACATTTCTACAATTTTTGGACGCAGTCCACCAAATCCAAAAACAATATCCGCTGGCATTTGAATTCAACGACTTCTACTTAAGATTTTTGGCTTACCACTCCGTATCTTGCCGTTTCCGCACCTTTTTATTTGACTGCGAAGCGGAACGAGTCGAATCGGGCGTGGCCGCTGTAGAAGACAAACGCGGCTCGTTGACTTCGCATCATAAAACTGTCGACACTACTTCTGACGATGAAAATATTTATCCTGGTGGTAGATTATGCGGTACTAGTCAAGGTACCAACCTAGGCCAAAGCGTGTTTGACTACATTGAAAAACAACACGCCAGGAATCCGTTGTTTTTTAATTTCATGTACACTCCAGATTTTGAGCATCCGGTTTTGAGGCCTCAAAGCCATTTACCTTGTTTGGAAGTTTGGGATTATTACCTAAATGAGGATTTACATCACGGGCCCAGTTACGATCCAGAAGTTATTCAAATGGACACTCAGCAAGAGGAAGAAATTGAAGCAGCTGATGGTTCTAGTAAATCTTCCAGGAAAAATGTAGCATTAGGCTATGACTGCATCAACAAAGTAGTTCCAGATGCCTTCAGCCATTTACTTGAGGAAATCCACAAATTGGAAACCGATTTGGGACATTTGCCGCAAAAATGGAAAGTCCTGTGGGACAAACTGGATTTGCCAGTGACTGATTCGCTAACGCGGCATGCCTCTTTTAGTACGGCTCTGGTGCGTCATCACGGCCGTTTGGTGCACAAACGTTCGACTTTGGAAATTCTGATGCGAGGCAAAATGGTGGGGGCAGCTGAAGCTTCTCTAGTCTACTCTCACCCACACAGATTTGAACGCTACAACTATACTACTCCTACACATTGCGACACTTGTTCCAATTTGTTGTGGGGCCCAGTCAAGACTGGTATGAGGTGTATGGATTGTGGTTATAGTTGCCACGAAAAGTGTATAGAAGGAGTGCCTAATAATTGTACCAAGTACAAGGCTATTTCAGACACTACAGCTTCGCAAACTATGCAAGTTAGCACTGGCGATAATGGATCTGTTAGTTCAGGTAGCGCACGTCAAACGTCTAGTCAGCAATACTATGAACAATTCTCGTCAAATGTGGCAGAAAATCGCACTCACGAAGGCTATTTGTATAAAAGGGGTGCTTTGTTAAAAGGCTGGAAGCAGCGCTGGTTTGTTTTAGACTCTATCAAACATCAGCTGAGGTATTATGACGCTATGGAGGATTCACATTGTAAAGGATTCATTGGTAAAAGTTTAAGTGTTATTTATTGATTAAACTAAATTTTTATATTTCTAGATTTAGCAGAAGTTATGTCAGTCAGTTCAGCAACGCCTGCTCCGGGCCCTCCAAAGAAAACCGACGATAAATCATTTTTTGATGTATGTATGTTGCATTATAAAATTTGCTATACCTTCTAATTTTGAATGATTTCAGCTTCGTACTAGTAGACGCACTTACAATTTCTGCGCATCAGATTCAGCTTCAGCTCAGGAATGGATCGAAAAGATCCAGGCTTGCCTCCAATAAGCGAAAACTACTCTCTCAGAATCCAAAGTTTAGGTTTAGATTTGATATTAACAAAATGTTTATTTTTTATGTTACGTTGTTGATGTTGCAAACATTGAATAATGATTAAGTAAGAAAATGTTTTATGTTTTGTAGTTATTTATGTGCCTGCACAATTTATTTTCCGTATGATATTATTATTGAATTTTTTATTTTTTTATATGTATATTATTATTATTATTAGATTGTAACGATTTAGCAAATTCAACAAACGCTCAAAATAATAAAGTCTTATTCCAACCAATTACCATAATGTAAATTAATGCTGCAAAGCAATTATTTTTAAAAAATCATAACTCCATTAATAATAACTCAATCGCTTTGAGTTTTTGGTATTTTTTACATTGAACCTTTAGGAAAAACTCCTCAAAATTTCAACTCTCCCCTCACTTTAGTTTTTGAGTGAAAAAATTGTTTGTGAAGTTTTACTTCATGAAACATCATTGTTTTAAAAAAAAATCATACCTTCATTAATAATAACTCGATCGCTTTGAGTTTTTGGTATTTTTTACATTGAACCTTTAGGAAAAACTCCTCAAAATTTCAACTCTCCCCTCACTTTAGTTTTTGAGTGAAAAAATTGTTTGTGAAGTTTTACTTCATGAAACATCATTGTTTTAAAAAAAAATCATACATTCATTAATAATAACTCAATCGCTTTGAGTTTTTGGTATTTTTTACATTGAACCTTTAGGAAAAACTCCTCAAAATTTCAACTCTCCCCTCACTTTAGTTTTTGAGTGAAAAAATTGTTTGTGAAGTTTTACTTTATAAAACATCATTATTTAAAAAAAAATCATACCTTCATTAATAATAACTCAATCGCTTTGAGTTTTTAGTATTCATCACATTGAATATTTAGGAAAAAGTCCTCAAAATTTCAACTCTCCACTCACTTTACTTTTTGAGTGAAAAAATAGTTTGTAAAGTGTTACTTTACAAAAGATCATTATTTTCAAAAAATCGTAACTCCATTAATAATAACTCAATCGCTTTGAGTTTTTGGTATTTTTTACATTGAATCATTAGGAAAAAGACCTCAAAATTTCAACTTTCCACTTTACCTTAGTTTTTGAGAGAAAAAATTGTTTGTAAAGTCTTACATTACAAAACATCATTATTTTCAAAAAATCGTAACTCCATTAATAATAACTCAATCGCTTTGAGTTTTTGGTATTTTTTACATTGAATCATTAGGAAAAAGTCCTCAAAATTTCAACTCTCCACTCACTTTACTTTTTGAATGAAAAAATTGTTTGTAAAGTCTTACTTTACAAAACAATTATTTTAAAAAAATCATAACTCCATTAATAATAACTCAATCGCTTTGACTTTTTGGTATTTTTTACATTGAACCTTTAGGAAAAAGTCCTCAAAATTTCAACTCTCCCCTCACTTTACTTTTTGAGTGAAAAAATTGTTTGTAAAGTCTTACTTTATAAAGCATCATTATTTCAATGCAGCTTCAATAGTTCTACAGCTGCAAGGGGAAATACAGGAAATGGGGGGTCACAATTATTAAACATCTACAGGAGGACAAAAATGGGTAGGTACAATATCATGTTTATTAATAATGTTACAATTCCGGTACAAAATTTTCTAGTACAAAATAAATACAATCTCTTTGTGTTACCTATTTCCAAAAAAAAAAAAAACAAATTTACTGACTAGTAGTGGACGAAACAAATAAACACAGAGATTATTTTGTTTTTGATTCATTTAAATACCCTGATTACTACTTCTACAAGTCTAGTTATAAGATTATAATGACGAGGCTAAAATTACAGTTTTTGTCACCCTCTTAGTATAAACTACAAATAATTAAAAAAACCAAAAGGGAAATCACACTTCTGACTGTTTTCTATTCTTTATCACATATTTTTGCCACATTATCACCAATGATTGAGTTATGTTTTGTAGTAGAATCACAAAACCAATATTTGTGCAAAAACCTAAGCACAGCCAAAAAACGAAATTATTTGAAAAATCGCACTTATTGTCAAAACGTGTGATATGTTTAATAAGAATAAATTGGCAAACAACAAAAAGATAAGCGATTTAGTGATTTTTTGCCTTTACCTTTCACAGCGAACCACTGGAATCTCCTGGAAAGTGCAGAAGTTGTCCTTCACCAAATGAAGGCGTCGGAGATGCTCTACTTGCTGAACTGAAGCTGCTGCCTATGCTGAGATCCTCCATGTGATTGTAGATGCACTCCGTGGAAGTGTTCAGTTGCTCTAGAATTTTCAACAATTTCATAGTGATTGCCTATATTATTACAATGAAACCAAAATAATAATGTTTTGGAATATTTATTTTATTTTCACATCTATTATACCTGGGAAATAATAATTAAAGGATTGTGCATGATGGAGTAAACCTATTTATTTCAATATTAAATATCATGTGTAAGTTACATTTAAAATAAAAACAGCTACAACTTGAGGAGGAAACAAACGCTGAAAGTATAAAAATGATCTGAAAATTCACTATTTTAAAGAATCATCTAAACAAGAGAAAATATGCTTATTAAAAACACAAATTAAAACTATTTACCAAAATTATGTACAACAAAAGCAGCTCAAAATCTATTTCTTCTTCTTCCTCATACGTCTTTTGGTGTTTGATTTACTAGCAACACTGGCAACTTGGATTTTACTATCATCCTGTGCTAAAAGTTTGCCTTCATCTGAACTTTCAGTCGTTTCAAGTGGCGAACTTCCAGAATCGATTTTTTCATCGTCTGAAGACTTGTCTGACAGTTTAAGCAAATCTTCTGGTTTGTCAAGTGTAACCAAAACATTTACATTGTCCTCTTCAGGTGAATCTATGTCCAAAAGTTTCTCAGTAGTGACATCATTGTTGTTGTTATTGGACCAGGGATCCAGCTGTGGTTTAACTGAAGCAATACTGCTCCAGCTTCTTTTTGGAACTGGTAAAGTGATTTCAACAGCCACATCACCACCAAAAGATTCTTTGTCTCTATCAGGACTTTCTTCTTTAGTTATTTTTACGCCTAATTTAGGCTTGGGTTTTCTAGCCTTCTTCAAAGATCCTTTTTTCTTATTATCATCATACAAAGGTAAACCGCAATCTTCAGCATCTTCATACTTTTCTGTTTTGGTCAAGTTTTCCAGAGAGAAAAAGTTGTCTTCCAATGGAGGAAATTCAGGATTCACCAATTGAGTATCCAAAGCTGGAAATTCAACTGATTTCAGTGTGTCCAAAATGTTATCGCAAGATGGTTTTGCTACATCAACCACATCAACTACTGATTTCTTATTGTTTTTAGATTTTTTGTTATTAGGCTTAGCTTTGATTTCCTCCAAAACATTATACAAGGGATTCATAAGACCAAACGAAGACTTTTGAGCTAACAAATCAGACACTTCACCTTCATGCACCAAAACTTTTGTATTATTTTTAATGTCTTGCACGCTAGGATCTTCCCAATTCAGCCCAGCAGCTTCATTTTTCTCCATCACCTTAACAGTAACATTTGTGTCATTTTTAAGACTTTGAGTCATTATATGACCTGCATCTGCTTTGCTGCTCTTACAATAAGCCAAAGTTTTGGGTGAAACAAGAGGCCTAAACAATGTTTCGTCGCAGTTTTCATAAATAACCAAATCCTCAGGGGTTTGGTCCATCTGGTCTTCGTCTGAGGATTGTACCGTGACCACAGTACCTAGGGGGTTGACCACTTTAGCTATGGGGCCGGCCTTTTGTTGCGGCGTTTTCACAGACACGAGCACGCACCTTCCACCTGGCGGGACAGAAAAAGCCAATGGCAGGTTATTTTTGTCTTAATTTGAGCTAACAGAGAGGTGATGAAGCTACAGCTGATAGTGAAGGAGGAAAAAGGATAACATGCCACATGCCTTTTGTGAGTGATAATAGCAAATCTATTGGAGTGCAAAATGAAATTACAAAATAATACACACAAAAACCAATGTTAAAAGTCAAATCACAGCAGGATATTAATGTTCCCCTAAAGATTTCCCCTGCCTGCCTTTGGCTTGTTCGTCTTACATAGGTGGATTTTAATTTAAAACCAAAACCACGAAAAAATTAAATAAAAAAATGTTAGAAGAAGCAAATAATCTACTGCAAAAAAACCACTCACCGGCTTCTCTTATGCCTGGCGACTCCAACATTGCATCTGCCAAGTCTTCTTTAATCTGCAAACAAATCAATAAATTTCAAAATCATCAAACAAATTTCACTTACTTGATGCTCTCCTGCTGCACCCATTTCTTCGCAATTCTTCCTGTAAATATCCAACAAAGATTGCTCGCTGCTACTAGCAGAACTAGACTCAATTAAAACAGCATTGGCTTTAGTAATAGGCATATTAACAGGTTTTGACCTGTTAAGATCTAAAGGTTGTGCATCACCCAAAGACATTGAAGTACCATTAGCTGTTGTATAAGTCTTAAAAGTAAATTGAGGCCCCATCCAAAGACGTCTATGAGGTCCTGCATGGGTGATTATTTCAACTTGACTCAGCCAATCATCATCATTGCCATTTTCAACTTTTTTCTTAATCAAAGGTACATGTGAAGCAACAAATGCTAAACTCTGAGGGGACAATGGCAGAGGTCTATCTATTGAAGAGGCTTGTCTTTGAAGACGCCACTGGGCTTTTGCAGTCACCGCCAATTCAATTGCAGTATCATCACAAACCTTCTCTTTTAATACATTATTAGAATGATGAGGTTCCAAATCGTATTGCACCAAAGTGCCATGGCAGTTGATTATAAACAAAGATTCTACAGGCTTAATGGACTTGTTCAAAGCAGACATTGGTGTAGTAGAGTCGATCCAGGCTCTGGCAGGTGCAAAACAGGCTGTCACTCTTAAAGCTATATTGTCTTCAGAGGAGGAGGACAATCTTTGACGGCCCTGGCGTGGTGCGACATTGCCAATGTTTTGCATGTAAACTGGTTGCCTTAATTGAGCCAAAGGGTTGACTACTGTGGCGTGGGGAAAGGGTGAGAAACGAGGATTATGGTAAGGGAAATTGGAGCTTATTGTGGACTCTTGCATCGATATTGGGCTATTGGAGCGGCCCTCAGAAGACAAACCAGCTGATCTATGGAATCTTCAATAATAATTATTAGTTATTGAAGTTTGATTGTTTCTTGTTAGCTTACCTGGACATTTTGTTTACAACGTGGGGGCTGGTGTGAGTTCTTACGCCAATATTTCCTCCGTATGGGGTAATGGGAAAAACGTGAGTGGTGCCTCTTAAAGTGGACACTGTTACCCATCTAGAGTCAAAGGAGAAGCACATATCTTGGACTCTAGCAGAGGTGTCACCTTTAAATAAGAATGGAATTGTGTGAATTGAGTAGTTTGATTCTGGTATTGTGTATAAGATATTAAAGCAGGACATACTAAAAATTCAAAGCAATTGAACAAAGGATACAAAAGATACACAAATACATAGTTTTTGAAGGAATGAAATCTGACAATCTTACATAAATGAGGTAATTTCTCAAAAACTATAAAAGCCACAAATATGAAATTTTCTGGTATCCTTTATGAGGCATAAGAGCAGATTGTACCAAAAATTCAAAGCAATTGAACAAAAGACACAAAAGTTGCATAGGGATTTACATAAATACATAGTTTCTGGAGGAAATGAATATGATAATCTTACATAAATGGGGTAATTTCTCAAAAACTATCAAAGCCACAAATATGAAATTTTCTGGTATCCTTTATGAGGCATAAGAGCAGGTTGTACCAAAAATTCAAAGCAATTGAACAAAGGACACAAAAGTAACATAGGGATTTACATAAATGCATAATTTTTGGCGGTCAATCTTCCATAAATTGACTAACATCTTGAAAACTATAAAAGCCACAAATATGAAATTTTCTGGTATCCTTTATGGGGCATGAGAGCACGTTATACCAGAAATTCAAAGCAATTGAACAAAGGACACAAAAGAAACATAGGGATTTACATAAATGCATAGTTTTTGGTGGTCAATCTTCCATAAATTGACTAACATCTTGAAAACTATAAAAGTCACAAATATGAAATTTTCTGGTATCCTTTATGAGGCATAAGAGCAGGTTGTACTAAAAATTCAAAGCAATTGAACAGAGGACACAAAAGTTGCATAGGGATTTACATAAATACATAGTTTCTGGAGGAAATGAATATGATAATCTTACATAAATAGGGTAATTTCTCAAAAACTATAAAAGCCACAAATATGAAATTTTCTGGTATTCTTTATGAGGCATGACAGCAGGTTGCACCAAAAATTCAAAGCAATTGAACAAAGGACACAAAAGTTGCATAGGGATTTACATAAATACATAGTTTCTCGAGGAAATGAATATGATAATCTTACATAAATGGAGTAATTTCTCAAAAACTATAAAAGCCACAAATATGATATTCTCTGGTATCCTTTATGGGGCATGAGAGCAGGTTATACCAAAAATTCAAAGCAATTGAACAAAGGACACAAAAGAAACATAGGGATTTACATAAATGCATAGTTTTTGGTGGTCAATCTTCCATAAATTGACTAACATCTTGAAAACTATACAAGTCACAAATATGAAATTTTCTGGTATCCTTTATAAGGCATAAGAGCAGGTTGTACCAAAAATTCAAAGCAATTGAACAAAGGACACAAAAGTTGCATAGGGATTTATATAAATACATAGTTTCTGGAGGAAATGAATATGATAATCCTACATAAATAGGGTAATTTCTCAAAAACTATAAAAGCCACAAATATGAAATTTTCTGGTATTCTTTGAGGCATGACAGCAGGTTGCACCAAAAATTCAAAGCAATTGAACAAAGGACACAAAAGTTGCATAGGGATTTACATAAATACATAGTTTCTCGAGGAAATGAATATGATAATCTTACATAAATGGAGTAATTTCTCAAAAACTATAAAAGCCACAAATATGATATTTTCTGGTATCTTTCATAAGACATTAGAGCATGTTATACCAAAAATTCAAAGCAATTGAACAAAGGACACAAAAGTAACATAGGGATTTACATAAATGCATAGTTTTTGGTGATCAATTTTCCATAAATTGACTAATATTTTGAAAACTATAAAAGCCACAAATATGAAATTTTCTGCTATTTTTTATAATACAATAGAGCACGTTATGCCAAAAATTCAAAGCAATTGAACAAGGGACACAAAAGATGCAAAGTAATTCACAAAAATACATGGTTTTTGAAGCAATTAAATATGACAATCCTTCATAAATTTACTAATATCTTGAAAACTATAGAAGCCACAGATATGAAATTTTCTGGAATCCTTTATGAGGCATTAGAGCTGGATATGCCAAAAATTCAAAGCAATTGAACAAAGGACATAAAAGTTACAAGGTGATTTATACAAATACATAGTTTTTGAAGGAATGAAATATGACAATCTTACATAAATGGGGTAATTTCTCCAAAACTATAAAAGCCACAAATATGAAATTTTCTGGTATCTTTCATAAGACATTAGAGCAGGTTATACCAGAAATTCAAAGCAATTGAACAAAGGACACAAAAGATACAAAGTGATTTATACAAATACATGGTTTTTGAAGGAATTAAATATGACAATCCTTCATAAATTTACTAATATCTTGAAAACTATAAAAGCCACAAATATGAAATTTTCTGGTATCTTTCATAAGACATTAGAGCAGGTTATAACAGAAATTCAAAGCAATTGAACAAAGGACACAAAAGATACAAAGTGATTTACACAAATACATGGTTTTTGAAGGAATTAAATATGACAATCCTTCATAAATTTACTAATATCTTGAAAACTATAAAAGCCACAAATATAAAATTTTCTGGTATCTTTCATAAGACATTAGAGCAGATTATAACAGAAATTCAGAGCAATTGAACAAAGGACACAAAAGATACAAAGTGATTTACACAAATACATGGTTTTTGAAGGAATTAAATATGACAATCCTTCATAAATTTACTAATATCTTGAAAACTATAAAAGCCACAAATATGAAATTTTCTGGTATGTTTCATAAGACTTTAGAGCAGGTTATACCAAAAATTCAAAGCAATTGAACAAACAAGTTACAAAATTATTTATAAAAATATACACTACCTCTGTGTAAAGTGTACAAGTGATGTACAGCAGCCAATGCAGCTCCTACAGGATGGGAATTGATGCGAAACAAATTAAAATCATGGCCCCTTTTGTCAGCAGTCAGGAGCAGCATGCCACAAGGGCCCCATTGCAGCCAAACTATCGCTTCAGTGTGAGCAACGAAATGCGCCACAACTGATTCCCCATGCAAAGAGCCATCGGCGTTTTGAGCTTGAGGGTTCTGGAAAATCACAATTAGTTTATTCAAACAGACCCAATTGTTTAACCTGCCTCAATATCCAAGACAGTGACGATTCCTTTTTGAGGCACATCGCAGGAGCCTCCTGCTTGAGGACTGTTAGGCGAGGTGCCCAATTTAGCTTGATTGCCTGTTAAACTAGATGCTACTGCATCTCCCAATTCTCTCAAACCTCTTCCAAGGCTTTTGGCTGCATGCAACACTGTAGCAGTGTAGCTTTGGACTCCTTCTCCTTCATTACCTCCACTGCTACGTCTCGAAGCTACCAGTTTTTTCTCAGCAAAAGCCAACCAGCGAGGCCCACAAGCCACTGGATTGGATTGAATTCCAGGAGATAAATAACATGAAGTAATAGATAATTTATCTTCTAGTGTAAATGCATCAAAAATTGCGATTTTTTCTGGAAAAGTGATTACTACTGAGCGCCTGTTGGCAATCACGTCCAAAATTTGAGTTTTGAATTTGATTTGCTTGACTTGTTCGCCTGTTTTTAATGAGTAGAAGTTCAAAGAGCCTGCAGATGATCCATGCGTTGCCACATCTACCAAGGCTATTAGAGGCCTTTTGGCCTCAAATGAATCTGTTTTGTTGAGGGTGCCTACTTCATAAGGTGTTGGTAGTATTCTTAGGACTTTTACAGAGCCGTGGCGCCAGGAAAACAGCTCGATGGCTTCACCGTTTGCAGGTACAGCCCACACTTGAATTCCAGTTGTGTAGCCTAGCACTAATATTAGGCTGTTTGGTAGGGGGGCTTCATTGCTTGGCGAGAAATTCAGCTCGTCGCAGTTTAGATTTTCGAATCGGACCCATTGGATTTGGTCTTTGGAGTCGAAGGAATCGTTTGTGGCGGCTGTAGGTACCACTTCGTTTATGAAACCTAGAGAGTTTTGGTTTTAGGGTGGAATTTAAGTTTGTGGGGTGAAGGTTTTATTTAAACACACACAGAACAAATATATAGTGGAACAAGCTAAGAAAACAACAATGCAAATTTATTTATTTATAAAATAACACATATCTACTAGGAAAATAACACAATTAATTAATAAAGGTTTCTTTATTCATAATATATATATATATATGAAGTCTTCAAAATTTACAATAAACTACCTGCACATGTTAAGAATGTAGATAAGTTTCCCAAGTTTAAAGGATGAATATATAATAATTTTCTTGTGTGTGTGAAGTTGTTATATTGTTCTCAAGACTGTTGTTGACAAAGGGTTTCTCAAGGGGCAAACCACCTAGGAATTCTTTGCCAAAAATGTAGGGAATTAGAGAAATTTGTGGGGAATTTGAAGGAACTCATCCAAATGTATGAGAATATGGGGAATTTATAGGGAATTTACTAGTTTTCCAGGAAAACTATGAAATATGTGAGACTTTATTTTTAATTAATTCAGTTATTGTGGGTTAATTTCAAATATTCCTCATGTTGCTGTTTTTCACTGGAAAAATTTTAAATTTTGGGAAAACGAGCTTCTCACCTTCTTCTTTACATGCCAAAAATTCCAAAATTTTCCGTTCACTAGTTTTCCAGGAAAACTTTGAAATATGTGAGACTATATTTTCAATTAATTAAATTTTTATAGGTTGATTTCCAAGATTTTTCATGTTGCTGTTTTCCACAGGAAAAATTTGAAATTTTGGGAAAGATGTTCTCACATTTCTCTTTACATGCAAAAAATTTCAAAATTTTCCCTTTACTAGTTTTCCAGGAAAACTTTGAAATGTGTGAGACTGTATTTTCAATTAATTCAGTTATTGTAGGTTAATTTCGAATCGAGTTTCCAATATTCCTCATGTTGCTGTTTTCCACTGGAAAAATTTTAAATTTTGGGAAAATGAGCTTCTCACCTTCTTCTTTACATGCAAAAAGTTGCAAAATTTTCCCTTCACTAGTTTTCCGAAAAAACTTTGAAATGTGAGAGACTGTTTTTTCAACTAATTCAGTTTTTGTAGGTTGATTTCGAAGATTCCTCATGTTGTAGGTAATTTTTCACTGGAGAAATTTGAAATTCTGGGAGAATGAGCTTCTAACCTTTCTCTTTTCATGCAAAAAGTTTCAAATTTCTCCCTTCACTAGTTTTCCAGGAAAACTTTGAAATGTGTGAGACTGTATTTTCAACTAATTCAGTTTTTGTAGGTTGATTTCCAAGATTTTTCATGTTGCTGTTTTCCACTGGAAAAATTTGAAATTTTGGGAAAATGATGTTTTCACCTTCCTCTTTACATACAAAAAGTTTCAAAATTTTCCCTTCAGTAGTTTTCCAGGAAAACTTTGAAATGTGTAAGACTGTATTTTCAATTAATTCAGTTATTGTAGGTTGATTTCCAAGATTCCTCATGTTGTAATTTTCCCCTGGAGAAATTTGAAATTCTGGGAAAATGAGCTTCTAACCTTTCTCTTTACATGCAAAAAGTTTCAAATTTCTCCCTTCACTAGTTTTCCAGGAAAACTTTGAAATGTGTGAGACTGTATTTTTAACTAATTCAGTTTTTGTAGGAAATAGATTCCTCATGTTGTAGGTAATTTTTCACTGGAGAAATTTGAAATTCTGGGACAATCAGCTTCTAACCTTTCTCTTTACATGCAAAAAGTTTCAAAATTCTCCCTTCACTAGTTTTCCAGGAAAACTTTGAAATGTGTGAAACTGTATTTTCAACTAATTCAGTTTTTGTAGGTTGATTTCCAAGATTTTTCATGTTGCTGTTTTCCACTGGAAAAATTTGAAATTTTGGGAAAATTATGTTCTCACCTTCCTCTTTACATACAAAAAGTTTCAAAATTTTCCCTTCACTAGTTTTCCAGGAAAACTTTGAAATGTGTAAGACTGTATTTTCAATTAATTCAGTTATTGTAGGTTGATTTCCAAGATTCCTCATGTTGTAATTTTCCCCTGGAGAAATTTGAAATTCTGGGAGAATCAGCTGCTAACCTTTCTCTTTACATGCAAAAAGTTTCAAAATTCTCCCTTCACTAGTTTTCCAGGAAAACTTTGAAATGTGTGAGACTGTATTTTTAACTAATTCAGTTTTTGTAGGTTGATTTCGAAGATTCCTCATGTTGTAGGTAATTTTTCACTGGAGAAATTTGAAATTCTGGGAGATGAGCTTCTAACCTTTCTCTTTACATGCAAAAAGTTTCAAATTTCTTCCTTCACTAGTTTTCTAGGAAAACTTTGAAATGTGTGAGACTGTATTTTCAACTACCTAATTCAGTTTTTGTAGGTTGATTTCCAAGATTTTTCATGTTGCTGTTTTCCACAGGAAAAATTTGAAATTTTGGGAAAATGAGTTTCTCACCTTCCTCTTAATATGCAAAAAGTTTCAAAATGTTCTTTTTTTTAGAGGAATTTATGGGGTATTTGGAGATAAGTTTGTGCTCAAGTTTGTGGTAGTAGTATCTGGAGGAATTTGGAGGAATTTTGAGGAATTATGCATAAAAAATTCCCCTTTGAGGAATTGTTTGCACCAATTCTGGGATGGTGGTTTACCCCTTGGAGTTTCTAGGTGTACAGTAAGAGCACAAATTTTTAAATAGGACTTCAATAGTACCCTACAGGACTTGAATATGACTATGCAAGACTATACAGTACTTCAATATGACCACACAGTACTTTAACAGGACTCAATCACTGAAAATTTCAGCTTATTTGGACTTACAGTTCCAGGAATAAAATCGTGTTAAGGAATTTGGGGTGGTTTATAATTTTTTAAATTTTTCTGAGTGCCTTTTTTCATAGAATTTGGCTTCAAATCTTAAAATAATTACTTAGGTGTATGAAGTTTAGGAATCCCAAAGGACTATTAGGACACAAAATCTTGATTTTAAATTTTGTAATTTACATTATTTTAGTAAGAAGGTAGCTAAGTACCTTATGCTTTAGATTTTGGAAAACTTTGAAAGGTTATAACTTTTTTTCTATTAAAGATAGAAAGCTGATTCAGTGATTCCTATACCAATAGAGGACTACAAAACAGGACTATACAGGATTTGAATACAGGATCCTACAGGACTTATGCAAGACCTGCAGTATTTTAAAAATATGTGGGTACTTATAAGACAATGTACAAATCCTGGGTACCTATTTTTGAAACCAACCAGAGAACGATATGCAAATGATAATATGAGTAACAAAGATGGAACACTTATTGTCATGCAGTGGCGTGTTTACCATGGAAGCTAGGGAAGCACAGCTTCCCCTAGAGGATTTCTTAAAAAGAACCCCATTGTTGAAAATTAAATCAGAAATTTTCCGAATTTTGTCCATAAATCAGATTAATTCGAGTTTGTCCTAGTAAATATTTATACTGAACCACTGCGCGCGGCCCAATGCGATGGCGCGACGCGACGACGAGAGCCGACGATTTCGTTCGGCGTTCCGACTCCCTTGGAAGCGGTAAATGCTCAGCGTATCGCGGCTATATGAATTTTATCCAGATTCAATTTTAGGAAGGCGTGTCTAGGGGAAATTTTCAACCGTGCAAAATAATAGGGAAGAGTACGCTGTTTTCGGACAGATTATTGTTTCAATTATGGATGCTGTTGCAGGTACAAGTTCGAGTAAGAGTGAAAATGGACTCTTATGTGTATGTATTGTGTGTCAGATAGTGTTGAAAGGATTTTCCACTTATATTTTTGAAGAAAAAAAACAAATTATTTCCAAGGGTAGGCCAACTCCTGCCATTCCAAATTTAATTAAAAAAACTAAACTTTATGTTAGACATTTTCAGCAAGAAATATATAAAACTTGTGAATGGCTGACTGGTTGTGAAAATAAGTCTCTCCTGTTTTGCTGGCCATGTCTCTTGTTTTCTATCGAAAAAAATTTGTGGAATAAAAATGGATTTTCAGATTTAAATAATTTACATAAGTTGATTAAAAGACACGGATCTAGTAAGTCGCATTTGCAAGCAATAATTAAAGAAAAAATTTTTGGAAAAGTAAGAATAGAACACGCGCTAGACCAAAATCTAAGAATTGCGACTGAAAAACATAACCAGGAAGTAGCGAAAAATCGCCAAATAATTAAAAGGTTGATAGATGTCGTATGTTTTCTTGGCGAACATGAACTTGCTTTTCGGGGACACGCTGAAACTGAAACTTCTTCTAATAAGGGAAATTACGTAGATCTACTACATTTGCTTGCAAAATATGACGAAACATTAAAATTTCATTTAGACAATTCTACAAGATTTAAGGGAACTTCTAATTTGATACAAAATGACCTAATTTTGTGTGTAGAAGAAGTAATATTGAAAAAAATTAAATCTGAAATAGAAGACACCAATTTTATTGCTATCATCCTTGACGAAACTACAGACGTCGCAAATATTAGTCAGTTATCAAAAGTCGTTCGCTATGTAACAAAAAATGGTGAAATCAAAGAACGTTTTCTAGGATTTGTAAACGTTTCTACGCAAAGAACAGCCCTTGCCCTGCACAATCTCGTTCGAACAATAATTGATGATGATCTCAACTGTGGCTCGAAGTTAATAGCTCAAAGTTATGATGGAGCCGCAGTTATGTCAGGTGAATTAGGGGGATTACAAACAAAAGTGAGAGAAACATATCCAACTGCACTTTTTGTACATTGCATGGCGCATCGGTTAAATTTGGTTTTACAGCAGTCGCTCAACATTATAAAAGAATGTAAGATTTTTTTCTCAACCCTAAGCGGACTTGCAGCCTTTTTCTCAAAATCTTCAAAACGAACTAGTGCTTTAGATGAAGAAGTTCATAAGAGACTCCCAAAAGTAGCACCTACTCGATGGAACTATAATGGCAGACTAGTACAAACTGTATCTGAATATCGTCAACCACTCATCGACTTTTTCAAAAACATATTGGATAACCAGGAAAAATGGGACAACGAGACTAGAGTATGCTCTAGAGGATATTTAAATATGTTAGAAACAGAAATTAACTTCAATCTTTTATTAATTATTTTCTCGGAGATATTTCCATTTTGTGACAGTTTATTTGCAGTATTACAAAACAAAACAAGTGACGTAAATTTCTGTATAAAAAAAATTAAAGAATTTAAATCTATTGTTTTGTCTAAAAGAGAACAATTTGACAGCCTGTGGACTAAATTTGGACAGTTAGAATTTGATATTGAGCCGCAAAGGAAAAGAATTTGTTCTGATGTTCTTGTAGAACATAGAACAGACCAAAAAGCGAGATGCCGAAAACTATTTTTCGAAATCATTGATAACATCTCAGCCCATATTGATTCCAGATTTCAAAATTTCAATAGTCTGAAATTTCTTGAGTTAACTAACTTCCTTGATAATAGAACGGTTTCTGAAGAAGCTTTCGAAGCATTGAAACATAATTATCCAGATTGTTTTGAATTTCCTGCACTTCGTTCTGAACTTTCAGTTATATACAATACCTCAGAAGGATTGAATAAAAATAGTGCTAGTGAACTTTGGAAATCTCTTAAAGAATGTGGATTGTATCGGGCTTTTCCCGCAGTACTTAAGCTATGTGAACTTGCAGTGACTATCCCTGCCACAAGTGCTTCTACAGAACGTAGTTTTTCCGCGCTAAAACGAATTAAAAGTTTTGTCAGAAATTCCACCGGACAAGAGAGACTTTCTGCTTTGGGATTAATCTCAATAGAAAAAGAATTAGTGCAAAAATATGCGAGCGAAACCAATTTTTATGACGAAGTGATTGATGTGTTTGCAAATAAAGACAGAAGAATAATCCTCAAATTTAAGTGAAGGTAAACTTTTTTTTTACTTTAAAAAAGTAGGTACACAATGTATTAGGCACCTAACACATCTTTTATATAACAACATGGAAATTTTCAAAAAATTAAGAATAAATGTCCCATCATTTTTTTCGCGCATTTTCACCGTCTTTCCCCACAGCTTCCCCCTCTGTTGAAGTCTGGACACGCCACTGTTGTCATGAGAATATTGCTCCCCTGTTTCAAGAATAAAAGCCCTGATTACAATACTATTACAATTTCCCTTGTTATCAGTGATTTTTCATTATTCAAAAGTTGTTTATGTTTATTACAGACTTACCTGCAACACTGTCCAATATAGTTGGATCTGTAACAGGCTGAGGAGTGACGATATTTTGCATTGGGGCCAATTCTGGCCTGGATTGCTGGCTGGGCGAGTCTGCAGACATGATTTGCTTGGCTTAAAAGAGAAATTAATTGCTATTTTAAAACCGTGTTTACTTTTTTGTTTGGCAACAAAGAATGATTTCTCAAGGACAATGGTTACCTGTTAATAAATATTTTGGAAAAAAATCATTAAACATCCAACTACTGCGTCATTTGGCAAACAACACAAAAGAATTGGCACTATTTTAAAAGGACTATTGACTGTTTATACTTGCCAATACAGCCTAAACCCTTATGAGACTTATTAGGACAATTTCAATGGGAAATTCTTAAAGATTGTCACGATTTTTCACTTATTTTCCACCCACTTTACTGCGTAGAACAACATAACAAGCGTCAGCTGACGCAATAAACAACAAAGAAGTTTTGACAGGATGTTTTGATGGGCGATGTCCCATTCGTTTCAACTGTCAAATCACTTTATGTCAATGAGATAGAAAAGGATAGAAAATAATTTTAGTGTAGCATGTACCGTAAACGTCAACGCCATCTTTGATATTGTTTTGAAAACGGAACACAATTATTGATTTTCAGAAAATCAAATATTAATAATTAATTGTATTTTAGAGCTATTTAACAAGGTGTAATGAAGCCCCAAATCAAAGTACTTAATACTGTACTACAGGTGAGTCTTAAAAAAACCTATTTTTCCCTAAAATCATGTGAAACATATGGATTTAGAGATTGAAGACCCTCAACGAGCCTTGTTTTGGTAAACTTTTTGGTATTTTCACCAACAACAACTTGCTAATATTAGGTTTGCATCTGGAAAACGATGAGGGCCTCAATTTGAACTATTCGTTTCCAGCTGAGATTGATTATTGCGGTAAGAGCTCACTTTAGGTCATGGTAAACGTCTGGTTGTTACCTAGCAGGTACTTTCTATGCACTAGAGAATAGAAAGTACCTGCTAAGTAACAACCAGACACTTACCAGTTGGTCCATAAACAATCTCTTGATTCAAGGAATCTTTGAAGCATACTCTGAACCCTTTGATCAGCAAACAATCCTCAAAAAATGCAACAACGTGGAAGTAACAGACAATCCAATATTCCTCTCAGTAAGGCTCACAATCCAAAACGACATTCAATGCAACCTTATCTGCAACAATCAAATACACAGCACCAACTACACAACAGTAGACAAACAAGAAGTTTATTCCAAATTTGTCCATGCAAGATTAAGAGGAGAGTTTCAGCTAAACTGCGAACAAACTGAAGAAAGTATTAGAGCTAGTTTTGCAGATTTGAGAAAGCTTATAGCTTCAGGAATGATGGCCTTTACTATAGCCAAATTGAATGTTATTCTTGTCACTAATGATAGTGAAATGAATGGCATTATTGGAATAAATGATGACCCAGCATTTGGAGATATTTGCCAGGAGGCAAACACAGAAGGACCTCAAAGAAAAACCAAAACAAATCAGCTAGACATAATAGATGTCAGTATAATGAAAAAGATGAGCAAAGATGGAGAAGCCAAAAACCATTCACCTGTAGTTGTTTTAGATAAAAGTACTTAGTACCTCTCTAAACTAATCATAAGTTTAATATAAATTATTTTAGAAAAATTAAGCCTCTTGAAAATACCAATAAAAATTGATTTTTTGGCCCTGATCCACAAGGAAACTAAACTGTCCAAAGTCTATGATGTAATGCTTGAAAGTGCCATCAAAAACTTAAGACTCTATGAAAGCACTTTGCAAGAGTTTATCAAAGACAATAACATCATTGAAAACAGTTTGAATATACCAGAGACTTTACACTTTTTTCCCAAAGATTGCAATCACTTTTTAACCAGGATTGTTTTCAGACAGCCAGAAGAAAAACTTAGTAAGCACTCTTGTAAAATTTCAAGTCAATTACTCATTTAATCATTTACAGAAAAATCCAGAGAATCCCTTCATGACATCCTTGTCTTATCCAAATCAACCCCCATGTTCAGATCAGCCAACCAATACCAATTCCTAATCAAACCCAATGGGCCTTTAACCAATGTCCACCAAGGCCTCAAACCAACCAGCAACAATGGCAAATTAGCCTTAGTAAAAGGCAATTACGAATACTACCACTATTGCCAAAATAACATGGATGACAGTGGTTGGGGCTGCGCCTACAGGTCTTTGCAAACTCTAGCCTCTTGGTTCAAGTTGCAAGGCTACACCAATACATCAGTGCCCACCTACAATGACATCCAAAAGTGTTTGGTTCAAATTGGAGACAAGCCTAGTAGTTTTGTTGGTTCCAGGCAATGGATTGGATCAACTGAAGTTAATTTTGTTTTAAACTCGCTCCTAGGAGTAACATCAAAGATTTTGTATGTCAGCTCTGGAGAGGAAATGGCTAGCAAAGGTCCAGAGTTGGTCAGTCATTTTGAGACTCACGGTTCACCTGTTATGATTGGTGGAGGTGTTTTGGCTCATACTATTTTAGGGGTGGACTATAATCAGCAAACTGGAGATTTGAAGTTTCTTATTTTGGATCCTCATTATACTGGCAGTGAGGATTTGAATACTATACAAAGCAAGGGCTGGTGCGGTTGGAAAGGGTGTGATTTTTGGGACAAGACTGCATATTATAATATGTGTTTGCCTCAAGTGCCCAGAGAAGTTTGAATTTTATATAATTTGTTGTAAAAATATATATGATTATTGTTTTAATATATCTGGCATTATTTCTTCACAATTTTATTATAACTATTCTGCAATTTCTTTTCCCAAACAAGTTACAAAGGTAGGTACCTTATTTACACAAATAGGGAAAAGGGGTAATTTCTCAAAAACTATAAAAGTCACAAATATAAAATTTCCTGGTATCCTTTATAAGACATTAGAGCAGGTTATACCAAAAATTCAAAGCAATTGAACAAAGGACACAAAATTTAAGTTGCATTGGGATTAACATAAATACCTACATAGTTTCTGAAGGAAATGAATATGACAATCTTGTATAAGTGGGGTAATTTCTCAAAAACTATAAAAGCCACAAATATGAAATTTCCTGGTATCCTGTATAAGGCATTAGAGCAAGTTATACCAAAAATTCAAAGCAATTGAACAAAGGACACAAAAGTTGCAAAATGATTTACCTAAATACATAGTTTTCGAAGGAATGAAATATGACAATTTTATATAAATGGGGTAATTTCTAAAAAACTATAAAAGCCACTAATATGAAATTTTCTGGTATCCTGTATAAGGCATTAGAGCAGGTTATACCAAAAATTGAAAGCAATTGAACAAAGGACTCAAAAGTTGCAAAATGATTTATCGAAATACCTACATAGTTTTCGAAGGAATGAAATATAACAATTTTATATAAATGGGGAATTTCTAAAAAACTATAAAAGCCACTAATATGAAATTTTCTGGTATCCTGTATAAGGCATTAGAGCAGGTTATACCAAAAATTCAAAGCAATTGAACAAAGGACACAAAAGTTGCAAAATGATTTACCTAAATACATAGTTTTCGAAGGAATGAAATATGACAATTTTATATAAATGGGGTAATTTCTAAAAAACTATAAAAGCCACTAATATGAAATTTTCTGGTATCCTGTATAAGGCATTAGAGCAGGTTATACCAAAAATTGAAAGCAATTGAACAAAGGACTCAAAAGTTGCAAAATGATTTATCGAAATACCTACATAGTTTTCGAAGGAATGAAATATAACAATTTTATATAAATGGGGAATTTCTAAAAAACTATAAAAGCCACTAATATGAAATTTTCTGGTATCCTGTATAAGGCATTAGAGCAGGTTATACCAAAAATTCAAAGCAATTGAACAAAGGACACAAAAGTTGCAAAATGATTTACCTAAATACATAGTTTTTGAAGGAATGAAATATGACAATTTCACATAAATGGGGTAATTTCTAAAAAACTATAAAAGCCACTAATATGAAATTTTCTGGTATCCTGTATAAGGCATTAGAGCAAGTTATACCAAAAATTTGAAGCAATTGAACAAAGGGCACAAAAGTTGCAAAATGATTTACCTAAATACATAGTTTTCGAAGGAATGAAATATGACAATTTTATATAAATGGGGTAATTTCTAAAAAACTATAAAAGCCACTAATATGAAATTTTCTGGTATCCTGTATAAGGCATTAGAGCAGGTTATACCAAAAATTGAAAGCAATTGAACAAAGGACACAAAAGTTGCAAAATGATTTACCTAAATACATAGTTTTTGAAGGAATGAAATATGACAATTTCACATAAATGGGGTAATTTCTAAAAAACTATAAAAGCCACTAATATGAAATTTTCTGGTATCCTGTATAAGGCATTAGAGCAAGTTATACCAAAAATTTGAAGCAATTGAACAAAGGGCACAAAAGTTGCAAAATGATTTACCTAAATACATAGTTTTCGAAGGAATGAAATATGACAATTTTATATAAATGGGGTAATTTCTAAAAAACTATAAAAGCCACTAATATGAAATTTTCTGGTATCCTGTATAAGGCATTAGAGCAGGTTATACCAAAAATTTGAAGCAATTGAACAAAGGACAAAAAAGTTGCAAAATGATTTACCTAAATAAATAGTTTTTGAAGGAATGAAATATGACAATTTTATATAAATGGGGTAATTTCTAAAAAACTATAAAAGCCACAAATATGAAATTTTCTGGTATCCTGTATAAGGCATTAGAGCAAGTTATACCAAAAATTGAAAGCAATTGAACAAAGGACACAAAAGTTGCAAAATGATTTACCTAAATACATAGTTTTCGAAGGAATGAAATATGACAATTTTATATAAATGGGGTAATTTCTAAAAAACTATAAAAGCCACTAATATGAAATTTTCTGGTATCCTGTATAAGGCATTAGAGCAGGTTATACCAAAAATTGAAAGCAATTGAACAAAGGACACAAAAGTTGCAAAATGATTTACCTAAATACATAGTTTTCGAAGGAATGAAATATGACAATTTCACATAAATGGGGTAATTTCTAAAAAACTATAAAAGCCACTAATATGAAATTTTCTGGTATCCTGTATAAGGCATTAGAGCAAGTTATACCAAAAATTGAAAGCAATTGAACAAAGGACACAAAAGTTGCAAAATGATTTACCTAAATAAATAGTTTTTGAAGGAATGAAATATGACAATTTTATATAAATGGGGTAATTTCTAAAAAACTATAAAAGCCACAAATATGAAATTTTCTGGTATCCTGTATAAGGCATTAGAGCAAGTTATACCAAAAATTTGAAGCAATTGAACAAAGGGCACAAAAGTTGCAAAATGATTTACCTAAATACATAGTTTTCGAAGGAATGAAATATGACAATTTTATATAAATGGGGTAATTTCTAAAAAACTATAAAAGCCACTAATATGAAATTTTCTGGTATCCTGTATAAGGCATTAGAGCAGGTTATACCAAAAATTGAAAGCAATTGAACAAAGGACACAAAAGTTGCAAAATGATTTACCTAAATACATAGTTTTCGAAGGAATGAAATATGACAATTTCACATAAATGGGGTAATTTCTAAAAAACTATAAAAGCCACTAATATGAAATTTTCTGGTATCCTGTATAAGGCATTAGAGCAAGTTATACCAAAAATTTGAAGCAATTGAACAAAGGACACAAAAGTTGCAAAATGATTTACCTAAATACATAGTTTTCGAAGGAATGAAATATGACAATTTTATATAAATGGGGTAATTTCTAAAAAACTATAAAAGCCACTAATATGAAATTTTCTGGTATCCTGTATAAGGCATTAGAGCAGGTTATACCAAAAATTGAAAGCAATTGAACAAAGGACACAAAAGTTGCAAAATGATTTACCTAAATACATAGTTTTTGAAGGAATGAAATATGACAATTTTATATAAATGGGGTAATTTCTAAAAAACTATAAAAGCCACTAATATGAAATTTTCTGGTATCCTGTATAAGGCATTAGAGTAGGTTATACCAAAAATTCAAAGCAATTGAACAAAGGACACAAAAGTTGCATAGGGATTTACATAAATACATAGTTTCTGAAGGAAATGTATATGACAATCTTACATAAATGGGGTAATTTCTCAAAAACTATAAAAGCCACAAATATGGAATTTTCTGGAATCCTGTATAAGGCATTAGAGCAGGTTATACTAAAAATTCAAAGCAATTGAACAAAGGACACAAAAGTTCCATAGGGATTTACATAAATACATAGTTTCTGAAGGAAATGTATATGACAATCTTACATAAATGGGATAATTTCTCAAAAACTATAAATGCCACAAATATGAAATTTTCTGGAATCTTTTATAAAACATTAGAGCAGGTTATACCAAAAATTCAAAGCAATTGAACAACGGACACAAAAGTAACATAAGGATTTACATAAATGCATAGTTTTTGGTGGTCAATCTTCCATAAATTGACTTATATCTTGAACACTATAAAACCAACAAATATGAAATTTTCAGGCATTTTTTATAGGACATTAGAGCTGATCATACCAAAAATTGAAAGCAATTTAACAAAGAACACAAAAGTTACAAATACACAATATTTTATTATTTCAATACATCCGCCATCACTTCTTCAGGCTTCACAACCTTATTAAAACTATTCTTCCACGACTCCTTATCCCTTTTATACAAAGCCAAATTGATTTTGGCTGCAATTATCCTGCCATGGTCAGTATTGGCCCAGCTGCCATCTCTATAAGCCAACTCTTCCATAATGTGAGTCTTGGTCTTCATATTGGCAGCATTAAAAATGGCTTCAAATGATCTGGAACCGTATTTAGAAGCAGCTAATTCTTGATAGGTGCCCTTCATTTTCCTGGTTAGTTTTTCTCTGCTTTTTTCTCCAACAAAAGGGCTTGTGACATAAGAGTCTACTATGTGGCTGCCCATGGAGTTTGAAAATAAATTCTTCAAATCCATTAGGTCCATGTTTAATAAGCTGTTGACTATTTTGATTGGTTTGTTGAATTCAAGCATTTGCTGAAGCATTAAGGTGCCTTGTAAGTTTAGCTTATCTTTTGCCAAGTTTTCATTTGAAATTGCATTAGAAGGATTGTAAGGGGTTAATCTAGAGACACTCATTATAAATTGTTGTTCAGATTCTGAGCAGTTTAGGCTTTTTATTAGGCTTTGTATGAAGGGGCCTTGCCTTGCTGAAAGTCTTTTGCAGTTTTGGCAAATGGCTAAAAGGACACCTGGATGGCCTTGTTTTATTATGTCTTGGAAGTTGTCCATAAGTTCGTCAAATAAGGCTTCAAATTGTTCTTTGTCAGTGCATTGGTTTAGTAGTTTTTGTACTGCAAAATTGCTGGTTTTCATTGTAGATAGTTTGAGCATTCTGCCTTCAAACAGCTTTTGGCAGTAGAGTTTTAGGAGTTTTTTAGGAGCTACTTGTATGGAAGTTTCTAGAAGCATTTGCAAGCTTGTGGACATGAAGGCTGGAGGAAGTGCATCATTATTATCATCAGTACTGATAAAGTTTTCATCTAAAAGCTTTTGTAGGTATTTTTTTAAGAGTTTTTTGTCTGCCTTTTTGATTGCTTTCAGTAATACTTGTAGCAACCCTGATGTAAGTTCCTGGGTGCATAATTGGCTAAATTGAGGCCAAACTATAAAGCGCTCTCCATAGTCTTTTACAATTTCAGTAAACTCTTCTGAAATTGTTTCAGTAGTTTCAGGGAGCAATTTATTGTCTTCTGGAATGTTCATAAAGGCACACAAGCAAGTCCTAATGATGCGATTACCAAAATTATCCCAAGCATAGTCTTCCAAGTTGTTCAATAGAAATTTGCTTATTTTTATAGCAAAATGAGAATAGGTTTGTGGTTTGCTACAAGATATTTTAACTAGGGCTTGTATTACGAAACTGGCAAACCTGTCTTGGCATAAAGGCCTCAAATCTTCTCCAAATTTGCTCATGAAACGTTCCAAAACACTATTGCTGGCAAAAGGGAGTAGCATTTCAATTACACGACATCCGACTTGGTTGCAGGAGCACTCTATTTCTTTTTCTAGGGTTTGTTCAAATACATTATCAACAAAGACAGCTTTGTCTTCGTCATTTTCAAATCCCTGCTTGAAGACTTCTAAGATACGTACAAAGTATTGGTAAGTATCAGCTTCCATGTGGGAACCTCGGCCATAGTAGCCTTTTTTAGCGTATTTTCGGGCGTTTTGAAGAAATGTCTTCTTGCGTTTACGTTTGTAGGGCTTCTGGGGGCTCTCACTAGACATTTTCCATAAAGTTTTAAGTCCTGACACTCTATAATAAACGAGAAACACTTTTTTGTATAGTTTATTATGAATGAATGACCAAAAAACATAACCTCAAATCATTCATTAATGATTTATCAATGAAAAATTACAGGAAACTACTCATTCATTAATCATTTTATCAATGAAAAATTACAGAAAACTGTAAAGTGAGGTTAGAATTAAACATCAATTTTGTAAACAAAAACTTTATTTTACAATAAATAATTAATAATATAAGAATAAATAATTAAAGCCTCATAATGTCGTACATGTTAGCTCATTTACACAACGGGTGGCAAGTGGATCAGGCAATATTATCCGAAGAAGATAGAGTTGTGGTAAGTTCACATTACAACTCCTATTTTCCAGCTAATAATAATCCCATTGCTCTAGGTAATTCGTTTTGGTCACGATTGGGACCCCTCCTGTATGAAAATGGACGAAGTCCTGTACAGCATAGCAGAAAAAGTGAAAAACTTCGCTGTTCTGTATTTGGTGGACATAACAGAAGTGCCAGACTTTAACAAGATGTACGAACTGTACGATCCTTGTACTGTAATGTTTTTCTTTCGTAACAAGCACATAATGATCGATTTGGGCACTGGTAACAACAACAAAATCAACTGGCCCTTGGAAGACAAACAAGAGATGATTGATATTGTTGAGACTGTTTACAGGGGGGCTAGAAAGGGCCGCGGTCTTGTGGTATCACCCAAAGACTATTCTACCAAATATAGATATTAATTTTACCCCTTGTATATATAATAAATAAAATGCTCTATTATTCACTGTGTAATTTATTTCAATTTAAGTTTAATTTATTTGGTTTGAGAGGCCAATAAGGTCAAACATATTATACAGCAGTGTGTTTCATTATCATATTTGTATTATCTTGATAACAGTAGTACAATCTCACAAGTTGGTTTTTAAGTTAGTGGGTGACAAATATGTCATTATAAGAGGTTTTTTGTTTTAGAAATGAGTAAATTTTTAGCAGTTTTTCGCCAGTTTTTGGAAAAACGTCCTATTTTAGGCAATTGCGTCGTTTATGGGACTCTTTGTGTGGCCGCTGAGACGTCTCAGCAATTATTAAATTATAAAATTCTGGTAAGATGGTTTGCTTTAAGTTCATTTTTCATAGACCTACTTAAAGCTTACTTAATACAGTTCTCTGTATATTATTTGACTTTAATTAGGGCCTTAGGTGCATCAAAATTAACATGATTCTGTTATAAAATAGGCTTCCAATTCTTTATCTAATAAAGCTACACTCAAGTGCAAAGAGATAGCGCTGGCGGTTTCAAATAATTTAACCAATACAGCTGGATTACATATTACATATGAGTAGGCCTTGAAATAAATTAGGATCGGTTTCTCAATAGCGGGTTAGTTTTAACTCCAGTGTAAACGTGTCCAGTTACCAATTACTTTGTTCCCAGAGTGTGACTTGCTAAGTTCTAAGGGGATAATTTCATATCTGTTCTTAAGTTTTAAGTTTTAAGTTACTTACTGTTACTGCTACTGACACTATAAATCCAGCTTTTACCCCTTGGGATTTGGGTTTGCAAATTTTCAAATCAATCAATATCTCGGTAACCGTTAGAGGTATCGAGTTGATTCTTTTACCAAATTGTAGCCCTCATTAAATGCTACAAAAAGGTCCTGTAAACAATTAAGCTACAATGCTTAGTTTTGGAGCTACACAGCCTTCAAATTTTGACTAAGTTTCAACTTTGATGCCTTATATCTCCTAAACAATCAAACCTACTTGATTCAATCTTGTGCCATTCTGTAGAGAATTTAATCCTCTTTCTAACTGTATGTAGTTTTATCTGATTCAATATAGAGTTAGTGAAGTTATAAGTGATTATTCAACATCATGTGAGGATTTGGAAACATTTTCAGGACCAAAAATGACCCTTTTTTGCTCAAGAGAAAATACCTTAATTATGATGATTTCAGTGTTGTTTTCGACTAATTTTGGGCTCCTTTTTTCGATAGTGAAGTCAATTTTATCCATAAAAACGAAAATTTCCAAAAAAAAAATGTTGGAAATTTTTTTCCAAAGGGGGTTACCCTTAGGATTTGGTTTTGCAAATTTTCGAACCTTAATATTTCTGTAACCGTGGAAGATATTGAGCTGATTCTTTTCCTATCTTGTAGATCTCATCAAAAGCCACAAAAAATGCTCTATAATTAATCTTGCCACGATGCTTAGTTTTGGAGCTACACAGCCTTTTAGTTTTATGCCAAATCTTGACTAAGTTCCAACTTTGGAACTTTATATCTCCGAAGCAGTTGAAGCTACTTGATTCACTCTTATGCCATTTTGTAGAGAATTTAATTCTCTTTCCAACTGTATATACCTTTATTCGATTTATTTTAGAATTAATGAAGTTACAGGTGATTATTGACTAGCATGTCAGGATTTGAAAAAAAAAATCAGGAGCAAAAATGAGCTTTTTTAGCTCAAGAGAAAATAGCTTCATTATGATGATTTGAGTGTTGTTTTTGACTAATTTTGAGCTCCTCTCTTCAATGGTGAAGTCAGAATTTGCGAAAAAAATTTAAATAAAAGAATACCTTAGGTAATAATGCCTATTTTTCGATTACATGGGTCTTAAATGGGCAATTTCTTTAGTAATGTGTTTACAATTTAATTTTTATCAATAACTCATCTAATTAAAGCCCAATTGATCAATTTTATCCATAAAAGCTCAAATTTCCCAAAAAAAAATTTTTGGCAATTTTTTTCAAAGGGGTTACCCTTAGGATTTGGTTTTGCAAATATTCAAACTTCAATATCTCGGTAACCGTAAGAGGTATCGATTCGATTTTTTTACCAGATTGCAGCCCTCATTAAATTCTACAAAAATGGCTCTATAAACAATTCAGCTACAATGCTTAGTTTTAAAGTTACACAGCCTTTTAGTTTTATGCCAAATCTTGACTAAATTTCAACTTTGGAGCCTTATATCTCCGAAACAATCAAAGTTATTTGATTCAATCTTATGCTATTTTGTAGAGAATTTAATTTTCTTTCTAACTGTGTATAGTTTTATTTGATATTATTTAGAATTAATGAAGTTATAGGTGATTAATCACAAGCATGTCAGGATTTGAAAAAAAAATTCAGGAGCAAAAATGAGCTTTTTTTGCTCAAAAGAAAATACCTTCATTATGATAATTTGAGTAGTGTTTTCAATTAATTTTGGGCTCCTTTTTCCAATGGTGAAGTCAAAATTTACCAAAAAAAATCAAATAAAAAGATATTACAACAAAATTTCTCAATTTAGCTTTTATTACTAATTATCTCAAAAACTACTGAAGCGTCCTAAAGCAAATCTTGTACTATTTTGAAGAGGATTTGATTCTATTTTGAAAATAACATTTTTTCTATAGGAAAAACCACCTAAACCGTTAGATACCGGCACCATAGCCCGCTACGTAGTTTATGGCACCAGCATTGGAGGTCCTTTAATAGCAAATTGGTACACGTTTTTAGACAAAAAATTTCCAGGCACAGCAATGAAAACCATAGGCAAAAAGATGCTGGCAGATCAGTTTTTTTTTTCGCCACAACTTTTGGTAGTTTTCTATGTTTGTAAGTACTTACTAACATTTCAATTATTACATTAAAATTACAAATTTCAGCCATGAGTATTATGGAATGGAAACAAGACTTATTTGAAGAGTGCCGCAACAAGTTTTTCCAAACTTATTTGGCCAATTGCCTCTTCTGGATACCGTGCCAAACCATCAATTTCACTTTTGTGCCCAACGTATACAGGGTGACTTACATTGGAATATGCTCTTTTGCCTGGATCAATATACTTTGCTATATAAAACGACAAAGTGCAAATAAAATTAATTAATTATTGTATAATTGTTTTATTTAATTTGTTAAATATGGCTTGATTATGTTTGCCTCAAACCAATCCCATTGGAAACGTAAATGGTTGCCTGGGGTGGCTAAAAATTTCAATTGATCATTGTCGTTCATCTGTTTTAAGCCTAATTTATCCTAAAAAAAATTTGCAACATTAATAATATTTAATAATAATTATTATTAATTAATTGGACTAACATCTTTATACAAATCAGATTCTTGTAAAGTTTGCGTTTGCACCGATTGTCCAGGCTTGTAAAAACCAAACCATTCAGTATCCACAGGTTGTACTATTGTATCATTTTCGAATTTAATCAATACAAAATGCTCTAGGGATTGTAAATTTTTAATATAATCTGTATTAATGTTGATTTCGTTATTAATATCAGCCAAAAATGTACTGTATTGTTTGTATTCGGTTTCATTAAGGGGATCGTGCCAATAGGTTGCTTGAACTAAAGTCTCTTGCACCCAGCTAAATATAAATAAGTTTATTGGTTGTTTGATTAGGTACTTGTGGTTAGTGTGAAGTTATCCATAAAATCTCAGCCATAAAACTAAGGAATCGCGGTATTAGGCTGTTTGTGCCATATTGGAAATACCTATGAATATTAGCTACTACTCCCCCACATTGTTATGTGGGGGAGTAGTAGCTTCACTGTTGTGAAAGAACATTCATATTGTCAGAATATTCCCTCAAAGTGCTTTTTGTGTTCTTTTAGGAATGTTTAATGAATATTCTTAGATTGTTTCGATTGAAATATTCATTTTTGGACGTTCTATTTATGTACTAGGAATGTTAATTGCTTCTCCATCACGACTTTTTTAGGGTTTTTAATTTTTTTGAGACTATTAGATGGCGGGGCATTACACAAAACTAATTTTTATTGATTTCTAGGAGAGATAGCTAGCATGTGTAGCTATTTTCGAAGCGGCACAAGCAAACGTGTAGAGACTACAATCGAAAATTGACAAAAATCACGATTTTTTTAGGGTTTTTAATTTTTTTTGAGACACTCAGACGGCGGGGCATTACACAAAACTAATTTTTATTGATTTCTAGGAGTGGTAGCTAACATGTGTAGCTATTTTCGAAGCGGCACAAGCAAACGTGTAGAGACTACAATCGAAAATTGACAAAAATCACGATTTTTTTAGGGTTTTTAATTTTTTTGAGACACTCAGACGGCGAGGCATCACACAAAACTAATTTTTCTTGATTTCTTAGAGTGGTAGCTAGCATGTGTAGCTATTTTCGAAGCGGCACAAGCAACTGTGTTGAGACTACAATCCAAAATTGACAAAAATCACGACTTTTTTAGGGCTTTTAATTTTTTTGAGACACTCAGACGGCGGGAAATTTCACAAAACTAATTTTTCTTGATTTCTAGGAGTAGTAGCTAACATGTGTAGCTATTTTCGAAACGGCACAAGCATGCGTGTAGAGACTACAATCGAAAATTGACAAAAATCACGACTTTTTTAGGGTTTTTAATTTTTTTGAGAAACTCAGACGGCGGGACATTTCACAAAACTAATTTTTCTTGATTTCTAGGAGTGGTAGCTAACATGTGTAGCTATTTTCGAAGCGCCACTAGCATCCCTGTAGAGACTACAATCGAAAATTGACAAAAATTACGACTTTTTTAGGGTTTTCAATTTTTTTGAAACACTCAGACGGCGGGACATTTCACAAAACTAATTTTTATTGATTTCTAGGAGTGGTAGCTAACATGTGTAGCTATTTTCGAAGCGGCACAAGCAAACGTGTAGAGACTACAATCGAAAATTGACAAAAATCACGATTTTTTTAGGGTTTTTAATTTTTTTGAGACACTCAGACGGCGAGGCATCACACAAAACTAATTTTTCTTGATTTCTTAGAGTGGTAGCTAGCATGTGTAGCTATTTTCGAAGCGGCACAAGCAACTGTGTTGAGACTACAATCCAAAATTGACAAAAATCACGACTTTTTTAGGGCTTTTAATTTTTTTGAGACACTCAGACGGCGGGAAATTTCACAAAACTAATTTTTTCTTGATTTCTAGGAGTAGTAGCTAACATGTGTAGCTATTTTCGAAACGGCACAAGCATGCGTGTAGAGACTACAATCGAAAATTGACAAAAATCACGACTTTTTTAGGGTTTTTAATTTTTTTGAGAAACTCAGACGGCGGGACATTTCACAAAACTAATTTTTCTTGATTTCTAGGAGTGGTAGCTAACATGTGTAGCTATTTTCGAAGCGCCACTAGCATCCCTGTAGAGACTACAATCGAAAATTGACAAAAATTACGACTTTTTTAGGGTTTTCAATTTTTTTGAAACACTCAGACGGCGGGACATTTCACAAAACTAATTTTTATTGATTTCTAGGAGTGGTAGCTAACATGTGTAGCTATTTTCGAAGCGGCACAAGCAAACGTGTAGAGACTACAATCGAAAATTGACAAAAATCACGATTTTTTTTAGGGTTTTTAATTTTTTTGAGACACTCAGACGGCGAGGCATCACACAAAACTAATTTTTCTTGATTTCTTAGAGTGGTAGCTAGCATGTGTAGCTATTTTCGAAGCGGCACAAGCAACTGTGTTGAGACTACAATCCAAAATTGACAAAAATCACGACTTTTTTAGGGCTTTTAATTTTTTTGAGACACTCAGACGGCGGGAAATTTCACAAAACTAATTTTTCTTGATTTCTAGGAGTAGTAGCTAACATGTGTAGCTATTTTCGAAGCGGCACAAACAACCGTGTAGAGACTACAATCGAATATTGACAAAAATTACGACTTTTTTAGGGCTTTTAATTTTTTTGAGACACTCAGACGGCGGGAAATTTCACAAAACTAATTTTTCTTGATTTCTAGGAGTAGTAGCTAACATGTGTAGCTATTTTCGAAACGGCACAAGCATGCGTGTAGAGACTACAATCGAAAATTGACAAAAATCACGACTTTTTTAGGGTTTTTAATTTTTTTGAGAAACTCAGACGGCGGGACATTTCACAAAACTAATTTTTCTTGATTTCTAGGAGTGGTAGCTAACATGTGTAGCTATTTTCGAAGCGCCACTAGCATCCCTGTAGAGACTACAATCGAAAATTGACAAAAATTACGACTTTTTTAGGGTTTTCAATTTTTTTGAAACACTCAGACGGCGGGACATTTCACAAAACTAATTTTTATTGATTTCTAGGAGTGGTAGCTAACATGTGTAGCTATTTTCGAAGCGGCACAAGCAAACGTGTAGAGACTACAATCGAAAATTGACAAAAATCACGATTTTTTTAGGGTTTTTAATTTTTTTTGAGACACTCAGACGGCGAGGCATCACACAAAACTAATTTTTCTTGATTTCTTAGAGTGGTAGCTAGCATGTGTAGCTATTTTCGAAGCGGCACAAGCAACTGTGTTGAGACTACAATCCAAAATTGACAAAAATCACGACTTTTTTAGGGCTTTTAATTTTTTTGAGACACTCAGACGGCGGGAAATTTCACAAAACTAATTTTTCTTGATTTCTAGGAGTAGTAGCTAACATGTGTAGCTATTTTCGAAGCGGCACAAACAACCGTGTAGAGACTACAATCGAATATTGACAAAAATTACGACTTTTTTAGGGCTTTTAATTTTTTTGAGACACTCAGACGGCGGGAAATTTCACAAAACTAATTTTTATTGATTTCTAGGAGTAGTAGCTAACATGTGTAGCTATTTTCGAAACGGCACAAGCATGCGTGTAGAGACTATAATCGAAAATTGACAAAAATCACGACTTTTTTAGGGTTTTTAATTTTTTTGAGACTATTAGATGGCGGGGCATTACACAAAACTAATTTTTCTTGATTTATAGGAGTGGTAGCTAACATGTGTAGCTATTTTCGAAGCGGCACAAACAACCGTGTAGAGACTACAATCGAAAATTAACAAAAATAACGACTTTTTTAGGGTTTTTAATTTTTTTGAAACACTCAGACGGCGGGGCATTACACAAAACTAATTTTTATTGATTTCTAAGAGTGGTAGCTAGCATGTGTAGCTATTTTCGAAGCGGCACAAGCAACTGTGTTGAGACTACAATCCAAAATTGACAAAAATCACGACTTTTTTAGGGCTTTTAATTTTTTTGAGACACTCAGACGGCGGGACATTTCACAAAACTAATTTTTCTTGATTTCTAGGAGTAGTAGCTAACATGTGTAGCTATTTTCGAAACGGCACAAGCATGCGTGTAGAGACTACAATCGAAAATTGACAAAAATCACGACTTTTTTAGGGTTTTTAATTTTTTTGAGAAACTCAGACGGCGGGACATTTCACAAAACTAATTTTTCTTGATTTCTAGGAGTGGTAGCTGACATGTGTAGCTATTTTCGAAGCGCCACTAGCATCCCTGTAGAGACTACAATCGAATATTGACAAAAATTACGACTTTTTTAGGGCTTTTAATTTTTTTGAGACACTCAGACGGCGGGAAATTTCACAAAACTAATTTTTCTTGATTTCTAGGAGTAGTAGCTAACATGTGTAGCTATTTTCGAAACGGCACAAGCATGCGTGTAGAGACTATAATCGAAAATTGACAAAAATCACGACTTTTTTAGGGTTTTTAATTTTTTTGAGACTATTAGATGGCGGGGCATTACACAAAACTAATTTTTCTTGATTTCTAGGAGTGGTAGCTAACATGTGTAGCTATTTTCGAAGCGGCACAAACAACCGTGTAGAGACTACAATCGAAAATTAACAAAAATAACGACTTTTTTAGGGTTTTTAATTTTTTTGAAACACTCAGACGGCGGGGCATTACACAAAACTAATTTTTATTGATTTCTAAGAGTGGTAGCTAGCATGTGTAGCTATTTTCGAAGCGGCACAAGCAACTGTGTTGAGACTACAATCCAAAATTGACAAAAATCACGACTTTTTTAGGGCTTTTAATTTTTTTGAGACACTCAGACGGCGGGACATTTCACAAAACTAATTTTTCTTGATTTCTAGGAGTAGTAGCTAACATGTGTAGCTATTTTCGAAACGGCACAAGCATGCGTGTAGAGACTACAATCGAAAATTGACAAAAATCACGACTTTTTTAGGGTTTTTAATTTTTTTGAGAAACTCAGACGGCGGGACATTTCACAAAACTAATTTTTCTTGATTTCTAGGAGTGGTAGCTGACATGTGTAGCTATTTTCGAAGCGCCACTAGCATCCCTGTAGAGACTACAATCGAATATTGACAAAAATTACGACTTTTTTAGGGCTTTTAATTTTTTTGAGACACTCAGACGGCGGGAAATTTCACAAAACTAATTTTTATTGATTTCTAGGAGTAGTAGCTAACATGTGTAGCTATTTTCGAAACGGCACAAGCATGCGTGTAGAGACTATAATCGAAAATTGACAAAAATCACGACTTTTTTAGGGTTTTTAATTTTTTTGAGACTATTAGATGGCGGGGCATTACACAAAACTAATTTTTCTTGATTTATAGGAGTGGTAGCTAACATGTGTAGCTATTTTCGAAGCGGCACAAACAACCGTGTAGAGACTACAATCGAAAATTAACAAAAATAACGACTTTTTTAGGGTTTTTAATTTTTTTGAAACACTCAGACGGCGGGGCATTACACAAAACTAATTTTTTATTGATTTCTAAGAGTGGTAGCTAGCATGTGTAGCTATTTTCGAAGCGGCACAAGCAACTGTGTTGAGACTACAATCCAAAATTGACAAAAATCACGACTTTTTTAGGGCTTTTAATTTTTTTGAGACACTCAGACGGCGGGACATTTCACAAAACTAATTTTTCTTGATTTCTAGGAGTAGTAGCTAACATGTGTAGCTATTTTCGAAGCGGCACAAGCAACCGTGTAGAGACTACAATCGAAAATTGACAAAAATCACTATTTTTTTAGGGTTTTTAATTTTTTTGAGACATTCAGACGGCGGGACATTTTACAAAACTAATTTTTCTTGATTTCTAGGAGTGGTAGCTAACATGTGTAGCTATTTTCGAAGCGCCACTAGCATCCCTGTAGAGACTACAATCGAAAATTGACAAAAATTACGACTTTTTTAGGGTTTTTAATTTTTTTGAGACACTCAGACGGCGGGACATTTCACAAAACTAATTTTTCTTGATTTCTAGGAGTGGTAGCTAACATGTGTAGCTATTTTCAAAGCGGCACAAGCAACCGTGTAGAGACTACAATCCAAAATTTACAAAAATCACGACTTTTTTAGGGTTTTTAATTTTTTTGAGACACTCAGACGGCGGGGCATTACACAAAACTAATTTTTCTTGATTTCTAGGAGTAGATGAGAGATTTTATGGATAACTTCACACTAACAGGTACTTGCCCTATGTATGCAGCATGGTTCAAAAGCCTTCTAATATAATCGCAAGCCTTATTTGACAGAGAACCACAATTGGGCAAACCATAGACACCTTGGTGTTGGCCTCCTACAGAGATTAAATTTTTCATTGGAGGCAAGGGGCATTTTTGAACTAAAGCACGTCTACAAATATTAAGATAAGTTTAAGTATACAAACATCTAAGGGCCAAATTATGAACTGACTGGTAAATGTCTGGTTGTTACACATTAGCCTGCTAGGTAATAACCAGACACTTACCTACTAGTTGGTCCATAATTTGGTCCTAAAGAAAATAAATCTTACAAAAACTGTGCTCCTTGGCTAAATCCTATAGCATTATACCCATCGACCAAATTTGAATCACTCTTAATTATGTTGCAGGCCATTTCAATTTGCTTATCCGGATGTAAAAAGTAACCATTTTCCATATCCTTGATTATCGTATCGCCGATTCGTAACGAGTTCACGTAAACACCCGGAATCGATTCGTTAAGGCTTTTTTTAATAGCGCCCAAGCTAAAATCGAAACAACAAGAATCACCTTAAAAAAATTATTATGTAACTAAACAATTTCAATTAAAATGTGCCTTTTACCCATTCCGTGCCACATAACAATCGGTGTGGCACAATTAGTGCCACCGAAAACTACGAATAATAAAATCGGTATTGCGGCAAACATATCTGCTTCAAGACTGACTTATTATAAGCGGTCTGAATATAGCCACTTTTTGATTAGATTAGAGTACATTCTCTTGGACTATTGAACCATTTAATAATTTTGTTTATTCAACGATCGACCCTCGAAGTCAAATTTATTGAGATCCGTTTAGTTAATAGACATCATCCCTCTCCGGTTTCAAAATGCCTTTTGATCCAATTGAATTACCCTCTAATATCTGTGTATATGGTGGTGTGTTCACTTCCCTTTATGCTCTATACACACACACGTTAAGGGATTAATATCTTTTAAAAGGGGGATTTGATTAATTCACAATTTGTCTGGAAGCTTATGAAGTCAGACTTTGTTTTTCAGTAGCGTAATAATTTTCCATTTACAAAATAAATTTAATGGGCCAATAAGATGTTATAATGGTTTTGGTTTGTTTAACTTTGAAAAACATAATGTATTTTTCCTAGGCAAGCAACATTTGCTTTAAGCTAGTAGATTTACTTTTTTATTGATTTCAGTTAATAAATTCTAAAATTTTAGACACAGACAGCATACAAAGTCTTATACTGCATTACGTCTGAACGTCTAAAAACTAAAAAAGACGTCTGCAGACTTTCAATTTTTGTCTATTTCAGGCACTAGGCTCCCTGAATTAATTCTGAGGTTTCTAAATTGTTCTGGAGTCTAAAAAGTGTTTTGGAACGTTCTAAATGGCTTATTATTGAAGTTCTGAAGTGTTCTAATTTGGATTGAAGAGTTCTGGCGTACTCTAGCAAATTTTCAGTAATTCCTAAATTGTTTTGCCAGATTTTTAAATATTTTAGAGCCCTAATATTGAAACTCCAAAGTGTTCTAAATTGATTCAAAATAGATCTAAAAAGTTTCAAATTGAATCCAACTCTGGACTGAACTGTTTTGGATGCTTATTAACGATATACAGCAATCTAAATTCGCTCTTAACAGCCTGCTAAAAGGGGTTTTGTAACCTAAGATTCTGGACACTTTTCAAAATGTTACAAGAGATTCTAGAGTGTTTTAGAGCATCCTAAAATGGGTTCCAAACTTCTGAATTGTTCTAAAATGTTTTTCGATATTATGAATCGGTTTTTGAATGTTTTGTACCTACATTGGTCCTTTGAGCAGCCGAACTTGTCCTATAGAAAAAGATATCAGTGAAACTCGCAAAAAAAAAATCCCTTATGGAGAATTTTATGGAGGAAACAGGAAACCAATGAGACAGGTAGAAAAAAACATGAAACTTCAGGGTATGATCCTCAGTTCGATTGGTACACAGGTTTTGGTCAAAAATCTGAAAGAAAAAGCCAAAGGTTAGACAATCCCAAAGCTAATTAGGTACCAGGAACTTCGTTTCACTTAAATCCTGGTGAGTTACAGGAAAAAATAGGTGATGGTAGTGACGTTTTGTCAAAATAGTTATTTATCCATAACCATAACTCTGGTCTTATTCAATAGAGAATTAAATTGTCTACAAAGAGGTTTTATTAAAATATTTATTATCTGCCTTAATACCTAAAGTTACTACAATAAAACCTTTGAATGTCGTTATCGCTGTGGGTTCTGTGATGTCTCCTGCAATCGTTCTGGAAAACTTCATAAGATCGTTTTCTTCGTCTGATTTCCTCAACTTGTTTGGAATTATCGAATTCGATTACGTTCATGTAACAAACCGATTTTTCTCCAACTCCTGTTTTATATAATTGTATAAAATGACGCTTTTCATTGTTGCCAGCGTCTGGAGATTCCGCTATTGATGGACTTGGTTGTTTGCGCCAAAAATCCCTATATACAAATAATAATTATAAGTTTAAATTAATTTTAAAACATCATTATTACCATCTTAAAATAGATGTGAAACTCTTGTAAACACTTTGAAAAGCAAAAAAGAGTTGCAGAATCACGAAATCCAGCATGTTGATGTGGTTCCTCATCTTATTGGTTTCGGCCATGACTGAATCACATTATTCTTGACACTGAAATTTTGTTTATCGTTATTTGACCTAACAACAAATCAATAATTTCGTTATCTTTATTGTACAAATGAAATTCCCCAAAGTAATTTTTCTATGAATGAGATATTTCTTATCTAGTTCAAGATCGAACTAATATGGACAAATGCAAGACACGATTTTCTATATGTTGCAATTAATGATTTATTAATTATTTGTTACATGTTGTGGTGTGTTTATTTCTGATTTAAATGATGCATAGTTTAAGTATGAATAATTATTTATAGGCCAGGAATCAAGTTACTATAAATTCAAAGTTACTCATCCACTATACTGAGGATCTTTTTATCAAAAAGTACAAACCAAAAGTGAATCATCAATTCAATGAAACTATAGCGGGCTCAAATTTCAAATTGAACCCCAATAATTATTGGAAAATTATTGGACTATACATTATAGTACTTTAATTGTCCACTTTACGTATCACTAGAATACTATACAAATTAGTTATTAGTTGAGAACACATGCCAATAAATCTTAGAAATTAATTAGCAATTAAAAATATTCTACTTACAATTTGTTATTGATGCAGTTCTAAGGACAAATGACTAGACTTCTATTTCACACAAGACGGGTACTTCCTTTATAAGTACCACCATCAAATTTTTCTACATAAACAACTGGATGTTTGCCTTATCGTAAACTAAACACTTTTTAAACAAAATTTTTCAAAAGTACTAAAGTAAGAAAAAAAAATGACTGGCACTGCTCGGCGCTTGTTTGTTTTCCCATAGTAAAATGATAAGTAGATTGTTTTAAGCTTATTAACATTTGTGACGTAATGTTTAAGGCGTTCGAGCAGTTCCACTGAAAAGGTACTACAATCGACTTTGGTATTAGACGAAAATAATCGGGTAGAATGGATCGTTGTACGCGTTTATATCGGTAATGACCGTGAGGATTGGGTTTTCGATTTTTTTTTTGGTGCATTAGTACTGAAACATGTTTTTATTTTCATTAATACACAAATTTCAGGTCTGCATTACGTTTGAATGTCTAATGACCAAAAAAAAGACGTCTTCAAGACGGTTTTGTAACATACAATGTCTTTGAGATATCTTTAAGACGTCTTCGTTTCTCATTATTTGGTTTGGAAATAACTGGAAACCATTTTAGAATGCTTTAGAACTTTGATATTAGTTCTGTCTGGCTTCTAGACTAGTACAAATCTACAGTAACATATAAGGGACCAAAATAATCTATGGTTCAATGTCCGGAGGCAGTTTAAACTTAGGTAGCTGTCCCATCTTCTGTATAATTGGTCTAATTTTCTTGGTTTTACATCACTGGCAATTCGAAAATATACTCTTGACTGAAACTCTGAGATCTATTATCCAAAAACGTTGTCTGATTTCATTTATCATGTGTGCAAACTGTTCATGATACTTTTGAATAAGTAACATGGTATATCTGTGTTTCGATGGTAAGATAATTGGACTTCTTGTTAGTGTCACAGTATCTGGTGCCAATCTTCCATGTCCCACAAGAATACTGGTTGCATCAAGTTTCGGTGAGAGCTTTTCTTCTGCAAAACTTGCTAATTAACACCTGTCTGATCCATCTTGTTTCAGCTTCTTTTAAATCTTGTACTGTCAACTCTCTTGACTGACTTTTTGTTTGGAGTATACTAATAAATTTAAGAACTCTTGCTGTTGCACCTATTAAACAAAGCCATTTTGAAAAATGTTCTATATGCGTCAAGAAATTGTTTGGAATTTGCTTCCATCGTTTGAAGTACAAAGCTTGAGAATTTTCTAAGATTTTAGTCTTCGCTCGTATGAAAATGGTCATAACTTTTGAACGATGTAAGCTAGCGAGTTGCGGTTTATTTTAAATTAAAAATCAGCTCAAAATTATCAATATACGTCAAGAAATTGTTTGCTTCTATCGTTTGAAGTACAAGGCTTGAGTGTTTTCTAATAGTAAACATAAGATTTTAGTCTTCACAAGCTCATATCTCAAGAACTGTTCGAAATATTGAAATCAAACCTTTTTTTATCTTGTGAAGCATCTAATTTTGATTCAGTATCATCAACTTTAAATTCAAATTTGTAGGGTAATCACTTCTGCCAATCAAATTTCAGCTCTAGTAGTGCCTGATATGGGATTTCCACATTTTGGAGAATCATATCTCAAGAATTGTTCGAAATATTGAAATCGAACCTGTTTTATTTTGTGAAGTATCCAATTCTGATTCAGAATCATGAATTTCAATTTCAAATTTATAGGGTAATAACTTCTCTCAATCAAATTTCAACTTTAGGAGAGCCTGGAATGGGATTTTCACACTTTGGAAGCTCATATCTCAAGAACTGTTCGAAATATTGAAATCAAACCTGTTTTATCTTGTGAAGCATCTAATTCTGATTCAAAATCATAAATTTTAAATTCAAATTTATAGAGTAATAACTTCCCCCAATCAAATTTCAACTTTAGGAGATCCTGGAATGGGATTTTCACACTTTGGAGGCTCATATCTCAAGAACTGTTCGAAATATTTAAATCAAACCTGTTTTATCTTGTGAAGCATCCAATCCTGATTCAAAATCATGGATTTAAAATTAAAATTTATAGAGTAATAACTTCTCTTAATCAAATTTCAGCTTTACGGGAGTCTGGAACAGGATTTCCACAATTTGGAGGCTCATATCTCAAGAAATGTTCGAAATATTGGAATCAAACCTGTTTTATCTTGTGGAGTATCCAATTCTGATTCAGAATCGTGAATTTCAAATTCAAATTTATAGAGTAATAACTTCTCCTAATCAAATTTCAACTTTAGGAGAGCCTGGAATGGGATATTTACAATTTGGAGGCTCATATCTCAAGAACTGTTCGAAATATTGAAATCAAACCTGTTTTATCTTGTGAAGCATCCAATTCTGGTTCAGAATCATGAAGTTCAAATTCAAAATAGAGTAATACCTTCTCCCAATCAAATTTCAACTTTAGGAGAGCCTGGAATGGGATTTCTACACTTTTGAGGGGTCCATATTTCAAGAACTGTTCGAAATATTGAAATCAAACCTATTTTATATTGTGAAGCATTCAATTCTGATTCAGAGACATCAACTTTAAATTCAATTTTGTAGAGTAATCACTTCTGCCAATTCAAATTTCAACTCTAGTGGTGCTTGACATGGGATTTCCGTACTTCGGAGAATCATATCTCAAGAATTGTTCGAAATATTGCAATCAAACCTGTTTTATCTTGTGAAGCATCTAATTCTGATTCAAAATCATAAATTTTAAATTCAAATTTATAGAGTAATAACTTCTCCCAATCAAATTTCAACTTTAAGAGATCCTGGAATGGGATTTTCACACTTTGGAGGCTCATATCTCAAGAACTGTTCGAAATATTGAAATTAAACCTATTTTATATTGTGAAGCATTCAATTCTGATTCAGAAACATCAACTTTAAATTCAAATTTGTAGAGAAATCACTTCTCATGGTATTCACTGACATTTATTGATGATTATAGCCATAAGACATTTGTCTATTTTTTGAAAAATAAATATCAAGTTGTTGAATATTTCAGGATTTTCAGGAACTTAGTGGAGATTCAAACTAGTAAAAAAATTAAATGTTTGAGAACTGACAACGGTGGAGAATATTGTAGCAAAGTACTTTTGGAAATTTGCTAAAAAATGCAAGTATACAACATCAGGTCACTGAAAAAAGATAATTGAATACTTACTTGCCAAAATTGCTTTAGGCGTTTTGAATAAATCCTGGATAGAGTTGCTTTGAAATTCTCATTAAATTAAGTTACTTCACAATGCAAATGATAAAGTCGAAATCCAGATATTTACAACTTGAATTGGAACGCATGAACAATGTGAAAAAATGTGGAAAGTTTGTTAATCAAAATGGAAGTCTTTCCAGGCAAAACAATACTCTGGATCGTCACCTCCGCATTATCCAGGATGTATATGCAAAAGGGCCTATGATGCTAATATTTTTACTAATCCAGAAATTTTGTTAAGAGAACTGAGAATTGAAAAGTCCACTTACAAAGGTAACATTTCCAAACTAATTTGTTAATTATATGAATAAATTATTTGATTTATGTTGCGCCATGGAGTAAGTTTTGTGAAATATACCTAGTAGGCCTTCGAAAAACACACGACAATAGGGAAAAAAGGAAAAGCGCGGGCAGCATCATCGGTATAAAATATACAACACGTTGCCGGTATTAAAATGAATGAATGAATGCATTTTCATTATGTTGTTGTTGTTGTTCTGGAGCGGGACTATTAGTCACGCCCCCGTTGATACGGATCTCTGGATTTCGTGCACCGGAAGAAGCGGGAATAATGCATTTTTTAATCTACTCTCCTTCTCCGGCTCCTTTCCAACAATGGATTCATTTTCCGGACGCGTTCATTGTTTTTTTTTTTCTGGCTTTCGCTTAACGGATTAAAATATTTCAATCATCAAATAGTCAATTTCTATTGTTGTACGTGAATTCTATTGTGTGTGGTGCATTATTGGAGCCGCAGATGTTCCAGCAGATTAATTGAAGCAAATTCCTATAAAATCCATATATACAGCTTTTTGATGTATGATCAAATTACGTAAAAAGCCAGAGAAGAGAAACAAAAATAGGATAAAAAAAAAAAAAAAACGAGAGCTTCTATCCATTTAAATCCATCCATGAATATCCAGTTTCTGGCTTGTAGCCCTGTAGTGCACGCCCCGCCCCGCTTATTTTTAATTCTCTCTCTTATTCGGTTCGTACAAAAGAATTAATTCATTACCGCCCGGAGGCATTTATTTTTTAATTTGCACAAAACGACTTTTTTGCACAGAGGCGGAGGAGCCCATTGTCTGCTTCATAATGAAGAATATTAATTAAGAAGTTGTTATACCTTAATATAAGGCTTAATTAAGCGAAAGACACTTTGTTATTGATTGAAAAATGGGGCCCTGTTT